TTATCTAGGATCGGGAGCGGCTCGGAATATAAATGCGGGGCTCGCGGTCGGAGCAATATGTCAGGCGGCTCCAGGACATGCTCTAATCTGCCAGGCGGACGGCTGGGTCCATAGACGAATTCGACGAGCTATTAATTACTTACTACTAGCACTAGACCTATATTGGAGTTTGCAAGTTCGTACATAAGACTTTTAGGTTAGGCTTTAATTACTTTTCAGACTTTTCATTCTGCCTTTAGGTAAGTATACGTTGAAGAAGTTGTTACTCTTTTGGTTTAGAAGAATGAGTTAAGTATACTTACCATAGAAAAGTAACAAGTACTACGGTAATACTTAAGTAGGTCTAAAACTACGGTTTCACGAACTCACGAATTGGACGAATTATTAATTACTACAAGCACTGACATTATATTGGAGCTTGCGCAAGTAGGTATAATCTAAAAGTTATCTCGATTTTTAGATTTTGTGCATTCATTCATAATTATAACCTGAACAGCTGTTAGAAAATAAATGATTTAAAATCTCCGCTAATACAGCTAATAGTCATAAATACAAAGCAATGTATAAATTCGAGTGGGTATTCCAAAAAAATACTTCGTCGCGTGCCACCCGCATACCCTCAGCCATGCGAAAGCGACACAGTTCACACGTCGTATTCCTCTTCAAAACGCACCCTATTATTATGTATTTTGATTTTCACACTATTATTTTCTATTGAATCAATGCAAAGGACTAACGGCCGAATACTGAAACGCCATTTAAATATTTGACGGCTTCTCAAATAGTTAAGCAGCTCCTAAACTTACATTTCGCATACTCAAAACAATATCTGAGCAGTTCTCAATTTTTAAGCACCTCTCAAATTAAGTTGCACTCAAACGTCACTTAAATGAATTTTCGCATACTGAAACGCTATTCAACGCTAAGCACTACTCAAACAACTGTCAAATCGTCTTAAGCAGCTGTTAAATTTGAGAGTGCTTGCGCGGTATCTTAAATCCTATTGTTATACCTAAAACGACCTAAATAGTGGTAAATAATGTGTGTCATCGTTATCATTTCTTTCGAGCCTCGAGAAAATACCTAGATCTAATCGCAGGAACGCAATAAGGCTGAACGCTATTGAAAAATATTATTATAATGACAAGCAATTCCGAGCGAGGTTCCGCGTCTCTAAAGAAACGGTGTTGTTTCTGGATTCATAATTTGGAAGCTCTTTGAAACCCCTCACCAAATGCCATACAACCAGTGGACCAAATACTTATTATAACCCTACTGTTCTACGCAACGGGAAGTTATGAACGTGTACTAGGTGATATCTTCCACATCTAACAGCCAACTGTGCATCGTATAGTGCACGAAGTAACAACCAAAATAGCTGCTATGAAATCGCTTTACATAAACATGCCTATTTCTGAGGATTAAGGGGACATCGCATAGCAGCATTTCCAAGAGTTGTTGATTTGTCAATTTGATGCTCTGTCAGTCAACAATGATAAATGTCAATTGTGGTTACGTTTCGGTCCACGATCGCCACTTAATAGATTTCAACAATAAAAAGTATCATATTTAAAATTATTTTTTTAATTAAATAAAAATGCAAGCATTATTATTTTTATATGATAAAACGAGATTTATATATAATAGAAACTAAAAATAAACTGTTCTATGTTAAGTTGATTGAGTATATTTCCATAAAAGACAATACATAACCAAACGATGCTGCGTGTAATGGATAAAAGACGTAAAGTTATCATTTGTGTAAATGAAAACATACTTTTTTTGGTAAATGTTGCCATTATGTAAACATTTGAGAGCTGCTTAGCTGATCACGGCTTCAAATCCGTTGAGTAGCGTTTGAGAATACCATTTAAAATTGAAGGATACTTAAATTTAGGAGCCCGTCAGCTGAGTGACAGATTTGAGTAGTGTTTCAGTATTCGGCCGTAAATTAGCTAAGTATAATAATAATAATAATCTTCCGTTTTATCGATTTCGAACAAATATTCCGTGAAAAAATTCGAAATTATTCCATTACACTGTGGGATACTAGGTACTGTTTCATTTTTTAGGGTTAATGTATCTTCAACTCAGATTATTAATACCTATTCAATAATCTAGAATTTCTAGTAATCAAATAATGTTACAACTGAAGAAAATATTTATTTTTGTGGGGTGTCAACACCACCGATATTGGATCAAAATCTGCGCCATCATCACGATGCCATAGATTTTTTAGTTCAAAGACTAACGACTAGGAAAGAATAATAGTCCCTGTAAAAATAATTAATTAAAATCAAGAATTAATTAATTTAACTTATTATTACTTATCAAGCGTGCGTCTGATGACTTTTTATGAAAAAATATTTACTTACAATATTAAGTAGTTTGTATTAAATTCAGCAACCCTTATTTATGTCACCAATTCACTATAGATTTCGCGTGTAGTGATTTTCGATTTGTAACCGCCACCGCATCGTGACATCATAGAACAACGGTGACGTCATATGCGGGTGGCGCGCGCCAAACCACTTTCGTTAATCGTTTTCCGACATAATGACTCCCCTATCACTTTAATATGCATGGTATTCACAGAACGAACAGTGAATGCTAAACAACACAACTAGAGATCGAAATCTTTGTGTGTTTGAAAAGGTATTTGAATAAAACAATTTAAGCAGCAGTCAAAGCTCCCATGGCTTGTAATGGGTGGTCTTTTAATGATCTTTAACTCTTTGGAATGACAAATCTAAAAAAAAAAGTTTCAAAAAGCTAGAAATATGATCTTAACACAGAATACTTAATATGGGTCTTATTTAACAGGACCTAAAGAAGACTTTTTGAAAAAAAAAATTGAAACAATTTGTTTGGTCTGCCAAAAACTGCCATAAGTAACTTTAATATCTCCACCTAAACATGTAGGCAGGCATAGTAATCTTTATACCCACATGGGATAGATAAGAGTCCCTTAACCACGATTAACTCGAGATAGCCAATAAAAAGCGGTCGTTTTACAATCGCCCACCCGATATCTGAAACTTCGCTCGATATCTTAGAGATCGCGACCGTTAAATAAATCCAGCTAATCGCCTCAGACTGGGCTCCTCGTATTGTCCAGGCATTCAATGCCTTCATTGTCTACAGACGGCTCCTTAAACATCGACGAATGAAAGGATACAAGTACCTGGATGCATTAAAGGGAATATGCATCTTATGATGAGGACTTTAAGTAGAAGTTGCGTTGTGGAGATCAGAAGAAAAGGTTGCACAAGACGGACAAAGGTAGACAAGATTGATGTAACGGCCGATGGTAAGTTTGCGCACGTGCTCAGGACGGCTGCAAGCCGAGCTTCGTCTTTGAGGTTTAAAAAATGATTGCGCCCCATTCATGTTAGAGGTTGAAGGGTCCCGTACATTTTTCTAACTAAATTACTTGATACTAATAATCTTGTCCTACAAGATTAAGTCTCAAAATACAGAATTTAATTTGTTACATAATATTCCACACCATGATAGAAATGACGTTTTCTGCGATGCTTCTCATGGTCGTAGTTGTATTTAAGCTTCACCTGATAACATTCACTTTGTATAATTTAAATGTTCCAAATCTATCTAATAGTAAGTAAACAAATGGGTTTAATCATGCAAATACTTAATTAATGTCATACTACCACAGAATATCTATTACACAAGACTATCAAATATTGACGCGATTAATTTTGCATAAAGTTGTGCGATAAATAATTAATAACATATTGTTCAGTACATGTATTAGGTATTTATTGTATGAATTGGTTACAGAATCCTAAAATTGTATTGAAATGTTTCGTTACTATAGTGTTTGATTCCAATAAATTATTTTGTACAGTCACGAACAAAAGATTTGTTAGATGCCTTCCAATATTTTTATTTTCTTGTATAAAAATTCCGATCCGAGTTTTTTCAGTGTAGAAAAATTTCCTGGAATATTTATTTTTTTCCGAACGTCGTCTTTCTCTTTTTTCTTTGCGTAGGTATAAAAAGAAATATATGTATAAAAGGGGGTTCTGAAATTTTTATAACAAGAAAATAAAAATATTGGAAAATATATGTAACAAATTTAACCTGCTTACATTGAGCGATGCGCACCATTTAACTTTTAGACTCAGCGTGATACAAAAATATAATTTTAAGTAATATAAGTAATATTTAAAAGTATTATAACCGATTCTGAAAAGTTAACAGATTTCATAAAATTATTCTGAATAAACAGATCAAAAAGTGAATTATTAATAACTCATACATCCCTACGTGTTTTTTAATAACGGTTTTATTCTGTGACAAACTTCAACAAGATATCATCAATCATTTGAATAATCCAAAAAATCATGAAGTCATTTTAATACGTATCAGGACGTATTTGAGACAAATTAAATGATTTCAGAATACTTTCATGTTCCAACGGCCACGTCAGTTTACTGCAAAGCAAGTTTTTGTTAACGACTATACTCTCTTACGTATTGTATATTTTTTATGGGTCCATAGTAAAGTCGGTTTAAGGCCCTCTTTTTATCTACAAGACAGTTTTAAAGCTTTGCCGATATTCGGAGCGGAACAGTTTTGTAATGGATGTTGGTCCTTTTTAATAACATGTTTTTATGCGTAGGTAGGTATTAACAATAACTTGCTTTAGAAATGCTAGCCTAACGACATGCCAACAAGTCTGGCGGATTTAAAAAGAACTATTAAACTTATGTCAAGGTCAAAATAGGATATTGCCAGCAATGAAATCTTGTGATATTGTGTCTAACAAGATTAAGTTTAATGAGAATAAAGTACTGCAATGCAGATTTTTATTTATGTGACGATTTACTGAAATTAATATTTTACTAAAATAAGAAGTAAATCATAGACTCATTTTTGAAACACAAATTTTTTGCGCATTTATAAAATTATATTTAATATTGAGGGTAGTTCAAAAATTATTATAGGAAATATTTTGGGGGTATTACAATACTGATTCACTTTTAACCGTCATTTTAACATTCTTCAGCACATTATTCGAAAGCGTTGGTACAAATACGATTAATTAAAATTAAAGGTTAATTATTACATTACAAGATGACGAAAAGAGGCAAAAAGGTAAGATTTATTCATATTAAGTTTATTAGAGTTATCATTGTTGCGTGCGTATTTTACGTAGTTAGTTGACTGAAAAAATATAGGTAACTTGTAACTTTTCCAGAATATTTTTACGATAAAACGTTAATAGTATGCTTGAAATTATAAAAAAATTAAGTACTCAAACGTTTAAAATGCATAATTTGATAATATCATTTGAATTGATACCAACCTTTACCTACTTATTTTTCATCACTAGGGTAAGTATGCAATTACAAATTATTGTAGTAAATAAGTAGCTATTTCCCAGAACTACTGGAACTTATATTAAAGATGATTAACGAGCTTCTACTTATATTTCAGGGTAGAGGTAAAGATGCAAAGGGCTCACCAAAGGGCTCACCAAAGAGTGATACAAAGCATGCTCCAAAGCAACGAAAGAGAAGTGAAGATTCGACTACACAGCAGCAGGATTCCGATGAAGAGACGGTTCTGGCCCCAGAAGAAAGTCCCGAGAAACACCTAGAACAACAGCAATTAATGGATCAAGTACCAAGACATATACTGCACATGAGACGAATTTTGGATAGCTACCCAGCATACAACCCCATTGATTTCTCGAGATCTGTCCAAGAAAGTCCGCTTAATTTGTCTAAGGATTCGGATACCGGCGAAGCAGAATCAGAACCAGCTCCCCTCAACTTATCAAGACATTCGGGATCAGGTTCCAGCGCCTTGTTAAGAGAATTGTTATCCAGTCCCTTAACCGCTCCCACCTCTTCAAAGAGAGATCGATATGGTAATTTGGTAAATTATCCCGAAGGAGCGTCTAGAAGTTTGTTAAGAGATCCAGAAACAAGTCAAGTCAGACCTTCAGGTGCTGATCCCAGAGCTATACCGAGTACCTCGAGAACAGGCTTAATTTACGTGTCAAGTGAATTGGGAGCATTTCCAAGCGGTAGCTCGACAGCAGGTCCTAGTTACCTGTTAAGAGCTTTGGAAGCAGGTCCAAGCACTTCACACAGTGGTCCAGAATCAGGTGCAAACATGTATAGAGATCTGGGAGCTGGTCCAAGTACTTCACACAGTGGTTTGGAAACAGGTATAGTTTATAGGTCAAGAGATTTGGGAGCATATGCAATTACTTCACACAGTGGCCCAGAATCAGGTGCAAACATGTATAGAGATCTGGGAGCTGGTCCAAGTACTTCACACAGTGGTTTGGAAGCAGGTAGAGTTTATGGGTCAAGAGATTTGGGAGCATATGCAATTACTACACACAGTGGCCCAGAAGCAGGTGCAAACATGTATAGAGATCTGGGAGCTGGTCCAAGTACTTCACACAGTGGTTTGGAAGCAGGTAGAGTTTTTGGGTCAAGGGATTTGAGAGCACATCTAAGTACTTCACACAGTGGCCTAGAAGCAGGTGCAAACGTGTATAGAGATATGGGAGCTGGTCCAAGTACTTTACACAGTGGTTTGGAAGCAGGTATAGTTCTTGGGTCAAGAGATTTGGGAGCATATCCAAGCACTTCACACAGTGGCGCAGAAGCAAGCCCAAACTTGTCTAGAGATCCGAGAGCTGGTCCAAGTTCTTCACACAGCGGTATGGTAGCAGGTAGAATGCACGTATCAAAAGATTTGGGAACACATCCAAGTGCTTCACACAGTGGCGCAGAAGCAAGCCCAAACTTGTCTAGAGATCCGAGAGCTGGTCCAAGTACTTCACACAGTGGTTTGGTAGCAGGTAGAATATACGTATCAGGAGATTTGGGAGCACATCCAAGTGCTTCACACAGTGGCGCAGAAGCAAGCCCAAACTTGTCTAGAGATCCGAGAGCTGGTCCAAGTACTTCACACAGTGGTTTGGTAGCAGGTAGAATATACGTATCAGGAGATTTGGGAGCACATCCAAGTGCTTCACACAGTGGCGCAGAAGCAAGCCCAAACTTGTCTAGAGATCCGAGAGCTGGTCCAAGTACTTCACACAGTGGTTTGGTAGCAGGTAGAATATACGTATCAGGAGATTTGGGAGCACATCCAAGTGCTTCACACAGTGGCGCAGAAGCAAGCCCAAACTTGTCTAGAGATCCGAGAGCTGGTCCAAGTACTTCACACAGTGGTTTGGTAGCAGGTAGAATATACGTATCAGGAGATTTGGGAGCACATCCAAGTGCTTCACACAGTGGCGCAGAAGCAAGCCCAAACTTGTCTAGAGATCCGAGAGCTGGTCCAAGTACTTCACACAGTGGTTTGGTAGCAGGTAGAATATACGTATCAGGAGATTTGGGAGCACATCCAAGTGCTTCACACAGTGGCGCAGAAGCAAGCCCAAACTTGTCTAGAGATCCGAGAGCTGGTCCAAGTACTTCACACAGTGGTTTGGTAGCAGGTAGAATATACGTATCAGGAGATTTGGGAGCACATCCAAGTGCTTCACATAGTGGCCCAGAAGCAAGCCCAAACTTGTCTAGAGATCCGAGAGCTGGTCCAAGTACTTCACACAGTGGCTTGGTAGCAGGTAGAATATACGTATCAGGAGATTTGGGAGCACATCCAAGTGCTTCACACAGTGGCCCAGAAGCAGGTGCAAACGTGTCTAGAAGTTTGGGAGCACATCCAAGTGCTCCACATAGTGGCCCAGAAGCAGGTGCAAACGTGTCTAGAAGTTTGGGAGTACATCCAAGTACTTCATACAGAGGCCCGGCAGCTACTAGTTACGTGACAAGAGATATGGGAGCAGGTTCAAGCTCTTCACACAGTGGTTCGGGAACAGGTCTCATTTACATGTCAACAGATTCGGGAACATACCCATATGTTTCACATAGTACCTTGGCAACAGGTACTAGTTATCCGACAAGAGATTTGGGATCAGGTCCAAGCACTGTACATAGTGGCTCGGGAACAAGTGCAATTTATCCATCAAGAGATTTGGGAGCACATCCTTCATATAGCGGCTCGGCAGCAGATGCTGGTTACCTGTTAAGATATTTAGAAGCCGGTCCGAGTACTTCACACAGTAACGTAGAAGGAGCAGGAGCAGGACCAAGCACTTTACATAGTGGCTTGGGAACAAGTGCAATTTATCCATCAAGAAATTTGGGAGCACATCCTTCACATAGCAGCTCGACAGCAAATGCTGGTGACCTTTTAAGATATTTAGAAGCCGGTCTAAGTACTTCACACAGTAACGTCGAAGGATCAATTTACCCGTCTAGAGATTTGGGATCAGTTCCAAGCACTTTACATAGTGGCTCGGGAACAGGTGCAATTTATACGTCAAGAGATCCGAGAGCTTCGCACAGTGGCTTGGAAACAGGTTCAATGTATACGTCGAGAGATTTGGGAGCGTATACAAGTACCTCACACAGTGACTCGACCGCAGCCGCTAGTTATCTGAGAGATATGGCAGCAGTTCTGAGCACTTCACATAGTGGCTCAACAACTGGTAAAGTTTACGTGTATAGAGATGTAAACACAGGTGCAATTTACGTGGAAAGTGACATGGGAGCTGGTCCGAGTACTTCAAACAGTGGCTCGGCAACAGGTACTGTTTACTTGGCCAGAAACTTTATAACAGGCCCAAGTACTTTTTACAGTGGTGGTGCAGTTCAAATAGAAGCCAGTTATCCAATAATAGATTTAGATACAGAAAGCGGTGATTCAAGAGAAAGTACTGACGATCCCCTAAGAAATTCAGGAGCTAGCCCCAGCCATTCATCAAAAAAATCGAGAGCAGGTCCTAGTTCAGCACTATATTATGAATATGATTTCTCCAGGGTCCCGGATCCACGCAATGGCATGAATCAAGACCACTTTGATAGACTAAAGTGGAATATTGTTGATTATTTTTTAAATGTTCCACAAGCAGTGTATGACGTAATGACAGAAGAACAGAGAGAAGATTTAAGAGAGTGTGTGGCTAGAAATAAAAGAGGCGAACGATCAACAAGAAAAAGTTATCCGCAAAGTCCGAATAATGAAAAAGGTAAAGATGATGAGGATGAAGAGACTTTATCATGTGAGAGCAATAATTCCAATAATAGTAAAAATAAACCTAAGGATCCACCTGATAACGAAAAGCCTTCAACCAGTAAAAAAAAAGACAATCAGGTCAGTAATATTTTCTTAAACAAACATAAAAGTGATCAGATATGTCAGATTTCATCCTCAATTTCAGAAATAGCATCAGGCGTTGCACAAGAAAACGACGACGTAGCCTACTCGAAAGACGTAAATTCACTTATCAATAGTATGGTGAAGTGCAAGATCTCAACAACAGATGCAAAATTAAAATTCAGGGACGTTCAAGAGATTGAAAGAGAGGTTTTGCAAATAGATGTGGTACGAGAATCTAGCGATTTGTCTGACTTTGGAACTAAATTCATAGAGAAACTGGCTGCTAGTTTGCTTGAGAACAAGAAACCTGTTGTTTTAGATGTAGATACACGGGATACGTGGCCTAGGAAGAAACTAAGAGTACCTTCAGTGTTTTTACATCCCCCATTTGAGTTTCAGACCCACATAAGGAAATTACTCTCAATGGGAATTCAGTTTTATAATCCCGATAGGAATGCCTACTACACTAAAATTCTCGGCCTTTCTTTCGAAGATCAGCTAAAATTAACTCAATATTTTGATGAGCATCAAATTCCCTATCATACATTTGGTAATCCGTCAGATAAAATGGCAAGAGTAGTAATCAGAGGCCTGACGGGTAACATCGATGTGTCAAAAATAAAAGAAGAATTAACAGCGGCAAGCATTCCGGTGGTGAGGCTTCACAAAATGCATTTCAAGGGTATTCGTAGGAGACAGAGGCATCTTTTATTGGCAATCGTGCCTCAAACTGAGGAAGGGCTGAGAATTTTAATGGTAAGGAAAATTTACGGGCAGGTCGTTTCGATGGAGCCTGCTGATGTTAAAACTATGCAGTGTCATCGCTGCCAGAGGTGGGGACACGTACAGAGGCACTGCGGAGGGCGGGTCAAGTGCGTCAAGTGCGCAGGAGACCACTGGTCCGCTGAATGCAGAAGGGATCCACAGGACGATCCTCCCTCGTGCGCCAACTGTGGCGGCGATCACACGGCTAGCTACAGACAGTGCCACCACTGTCCCGACTCCAAAAGATACAAATCGCGACAATTCGAACATATAATACGTATCATCAAAAAGTCTCAAGTAACACCAACTCCTAAAAAATGTAAAAAGCTTTATACCGACGATCAGGCAGATTTGCCAATTAAAAAATCTTGAACGTGCCTAAGTTTTAATTATTTTATTTTATATTTCTATTCGAGCTTGTTTTTTTTTATTGTAACTTATTATTAGTTTTAATGTGCATGCAATGGTGATTAATAGTGTAGTAAATAAATAAGATTTTTAGAAATAATAATGTTTTATTCAATTCCTTTAGGTAGTTCTTTGGAACAAAAGCTTACATTATCTTATCAATAATATTCTAATGATTACTATACAAATAATTTGTACAAGTCTAGCTACATTATAATCCTATATACATTTTACTCATATTTACATTTCTAATATTCGATAATACTATACAGTTTAGTTATGGCCATTTAATTAATTAACTTACTCTATTTTGGAATATCATAAAGCTAAAAAACTGGCCATCAAAGTAGGCCAGAATTCACCAAATTTTGGTTAAATTAAAACAATCCATTTATCCGGACATATATTGATAAATACAATAAATATATTGATATTGAATTTGTTAACTAATCGCAGTTTACGGATAAATAACCGTTAAATTTAACCTTTGGTGAGTTCGGGCCTTACAACTACTAGTAAATATTTTACAATAGCTAATATTACTTAGGAACAAAAACCTGAATTGCCTTCATTAAAACTCCGTCACGTGGCTTTGACGGTTTGCTGCATGGTATTCCTTAGGCTATCTGAGCTTGCTGCTTCCTCAGTGATAGGGGTGACACGGACCTGGAAGAAATTGTTAATTGGTAAGTATTTGGGATAAAGTAACCTTACGGTAAGATGGTGCCATGTCTTTGTTCTATGGTTGGCTTTGGAATTGGGAATAAGTAAATGCAAACTAAATCAGTACGATTCTGATTTAGGATATTATGTAGACTGAAGTCAGTGATATTACACATAACCTAAGTCATTGGAAAAATGTATAAATAAGTAGCTAGCTATTATATTTGCTTACGTAATTTTAAGATGATTTGCAACGATTTCATGAGAAGAGATAATATTAATATGAAATATTAATACACAAAATAGATTGTGCAGGCACTGCACTGCAGGGTTCGAACCCGCAACCTTTATCTTAGCACTCAAATTCGCGACTGAATGGCTCTTGTAATGAAATAACAGCTAAATGATGACCATAATAATGATGAGTAACAGTAAATGCTTCATCATCATCATCATCGTTTCAGCCACAGGACGTCCACTGCTGAACATAGGCCTCCCCCAATGACTTCCACATCGCACGGTTGGTAGCGGCCTGCATCCAGCGCCTTCCTGCTTACCTTTATCAGGTCGTCGGTCCACCTTGTGGGTGGACGTCCCACGCTGCAGTAAATGCTTACCTCCAATGTAAGTTTGGGCACAGCTATCCTGTTTCCATCCAGCTCTCCCAGCACTCTATCCAGGGTATCCACCAATCGGTCTGCGTCTTGCGTCGTGAACACCATAGGCGGTTTGAACTTTAACACATTGCTGTCGGGGCCGTCGCGGCTTATCAGGATCTTTTCGTCGCGCATCCTGGGAAAATACATTATGAGTTTAGATATCGATAATTTATTATATTGTACAGCCCTATTGGTCAAAAGTGAAGACGATTGTGAAATCTTTTTAACGTTCTGTACCCAAAAAGAGAAATTGGGATTATCGATGTACCTAATTAGCAGGATAATTATATTCAATAAATCAGATCGAACCAAATCAAATAGTATTTGCAGAACTAAATGTCATGATAATACAGGTATTCAGAGAAACTAACGAATATATTTTTATTTCTATTTGTGTACGAGAGTATACGCGTGTAAATATTTGGTACAAACTATTTTTAACTGCCCCAGTAAAGTTCAATGACTGTCACCGCTGGTTGCGAAAATAGAAAATGTAGATGCAGTGTCATTAAACATCAAGCGCTTTAAGCGACTTAAAGTTTCAGTACTGATCATCAAACGCTTCAAGCGACTTACCGGTTAACGATGTGTTTAGCTTCAGCGGTGGCTGGGGTCCTCGCTTCCCTGTCAGTGACCAGTTCGACTCCGACGAACAATCCTCTGCCTCGTACATCGCCGACTAAGCTATGCCTGTGCTTGAGGTCTTCGCAGCGGGACAGGAGATGGTTGCCGACGCGAGCGGCGCGTTCCATTAGACGTTCTTCTTCGATCACGTCGAGAACAGCGTTCGCGATCGCACAGGATACTGGGTTGCCGCCATACTGTAAACGGAAAAAAAAATTATTAGTTGGAGTATTTTATTATAACATTTAAGTGATAGAAGAATTAATGTTGTTTTGATCTATGATTTCAATATAATCACATACTATTATTGCTTTCTTGTAGTCACTTTTGTATAGTTAAAAATCTTATCTACCTACAAGCTATTTTGAAAAAAATATTGTAACTAATCTTTCGATTCGAGTAAAATGAGTCATCATTTGGGTGAAAGCTTATATTGATTGAATACCCAATACCAAAAAATTAAGCCGACTGGTTTATTTTTATTAGACTTTTTATTTGAAGCCAAATATGTCAAATACAAAACAAATCAAATACACTCGGCATCAAATAAATCGCACCTCCCGCAACAAGCACTTCTCAAACGTATGCATCCCCACTTCCCACCAACATTGGTTCCATTTGAAAGCCTAGTTCTAAACTTTATTTCATTAAAGAAAAGGTTTTTACCCCAAAAATGTGTTTTAGAAGGATCCAGAGTCACTTCTTCAAAAAATAGGTAGTTACGCTTAAGCCAACTTTTATGGCTATAAAACTGTTATATTGGGATTAATCGCTATCCATCTGTTAAAAAGGACACGTAAGATCATTATTTGGTTTTATAACCACAAAAATTGGTCTGATTGATCCCAGAGGTGAGCCCCAAATGAGGCCTTTTTTCAAGTCACATTTATGGTACCTGTTAATTGTTTATAAAAAAAATGTGTTTTTCTTTAAGTTTATTTATTGGGCTTTCAAATAACACCAATATTGTTGGGGCCCATGATTGTTTCAGAAGAAAATCTTTAAATTCTAAGATAGGCTGATAGGTACAGGTGACAACAACACCTACTGGCTATTTATCAACTTTTCTTCGACAGGTTGCTATGGACTCTGATATAGGTAGGTAAAACTACAATCAGGTTGACATACGTATCATAATTAACCCTTGCGTATGTTTATATTTGTGATCGGATACTGTTATCTAAATAGATATCAATAGGAATATTTTCTCTCAAGAACAATAAACAATCTATTTAAAGGAGGTAAACAAAGTTTGTTTAAGTTTAATTAGGCATTTATCGCAATCTGATGTTGCTAACACATTTATCACGTCACGTTTGTGCGAGTGAGAATATTGGTGTTAATTAAATAAGTACCTAACCGGAAAATCTACTTCGATGTTTTATGTCAAAATACAACTCTATAACATTTGATTGGAAAACCTAAATCATAAGAATCAAACCTGGAGTTTTGGCATCTAAAAGAGCGTACTGAAAGGTTAACCTTTTTCAAAAATCTTTCTCAGTGACTTTAATGTGTTTACAAAAAATAATCAGAATTAGGCCTCCGTATCACTTGAACCTATTTTCCAGACATAACAAATTATTCAATACTTTATCAACTCACAGTATTAAAGTACTCCACGCCAGTATCAGCGAAGCTCTTAGCTATTTCTGGGGTGGTGATGACGGCTGCTACCGGGTGGCCGTTGCCCATGGGTTTGCCCATGGTGACTATGTCAGGCACCACGTCTTGCGTCTCGAAAGCCCACATGTGGGAGCCCACGCGGCCGAAGCCCACTTGGACTTCATCAGCTATGCATACTCCGTCGGCTTCGCGGACGTACCTGAAAATGGAATGGTTTATTAGAATGTAGGTATTATATTAATCTTTTTTTTTCATCATGAGATGTCTTGCTCTGTTACAGTATTTATATGTAGACTTCTTCAAGAATCGTTACTACGAGTAAGTACACACCGTGTCCCAAATTTCAACGATAAGCCGGCGCCGCAGGGTGGACATAGTCATGACTATTTCAGGAAAAATAAAAAATCTATCTTACATTTCAATTCTTATTTTTCCTAAAGTAGTCATAAACATGTCCAGCCTACGGCGCCGGCTTATCGTTGAATTTTGGGACAGTATGTATATTTTTAATCCGAAATAACTGCCTAACTGTTACGTTTTTACCCGAAATTAAATCTTAAAGCATTAATACTTAAGGGATAAAATTTTGTAAGAGAGTCTAATCATTTCCTTGTGTTAGCGATATGAAAACTACATATTTTTATGTTTCAGTTTCGTAGGTAAATAAACGTTGTGACTATTACCTTCCTAATCGGCACAAGTAATAAGGCACAGACAGTGTAGTCCTAAGATAGGTCTACAGTATACAGTCTATGCTAATCAGTGAACTAATTAAGAAACCATATTCTGATAAATTATATAGAGATCTATTAACTACGCCCAATTAAAATGAGCAAAACAAAGATAGCGTAATAGAGTAAAACAATGTAAAATATAACTAATATCGTTTCAAATTACAAAGGAACTGAAGCTTATTCAAATATGTTTAAAGATAAGTTAAGATTATATTTTCCAGTTATATCCAGTCTTTTGTAATCGTAACCCAAACTGTTTGACATCTCGGTTATCTAACTTGTTCGTATACAATACAATGTGTAACTACAATGATCATGTGCAATAATATTCCGTTCTAACAAAACTAATTGACTACATCGTTGCAATAGTGACCGTGAATGCAACTTATGGCTAATCAAGATTTATTGGCGCACATTAAAATGTATGTTTAATGTAATGCAAAACATATTGATAACAATGTTACGAGTGTATTAGAGTTCGGTCTTCTTTACATTTTCTTGAAGTTCACGCTGGTATCTAATGATTAGGTCGATAATGATTGATTTAATGATCTTAAAATACGCTTTATAATATCTGTGTCAGACAAGACAATCCAATGGGCTTGTTGTAACATAAATCACACGTGCATCCTATTAATAAGATTTTTATCAATATTAAGCACATAAAATCGAAATTGTCGACACACCTACGTCATCTAACACTTCTATACGCCAGCGTTATCCTACGAACGAAAAAACTAATATAGCCTAGGGGCCTTCTATAAATAGGATGATAACCGAATGTCCCAGCTAAACTAATATAAACATTCTATCGGACTTTGGAAAAATATATTATTTACTACTTTTTATACTAAGATAATGGATAAAGATTGGTGAACTTACTCATATACTCTCTTCAAGTAGCCGTCAGGCGGTATGATCTGTCCGCCGCAACTTTGCAGACTCTCCGCTATAAATGCGCATACGCCCCCATGCTTCTTCTTGGCTTCTTTGCACAATGAGCCGACCTCATCGGCAAACATCAACCCAAGTTCCTCTTCAGAAATTGAGTCCTTAGGGTATGTATATTTCCCTCTGTAGATATCTGGTACGGGCGCCTGTGGGGATAAAACTTTCTATAACTCATTGTTTTAAAACTAATAGATCGTTTTGTTAATCTTTTTCCAAACCACAAATTATCTTTTCAACAAATATTGTTTCGCTAACTTTATTTTAATGATAAATTGAATGTGGCCAGTTCAACGATCACTAATCGGTTTTGAATACAATGTTTATTAAACATACTATAAATATCTTATGCAACTTATTATTTTTGTATGACTAAGTTACGAGTAGGTATTGTAATGTTAAGTTTTTCCTAATTTAGAACCCCCAAAACAAAACTACGGCCAATTGTGACCCTATGTGGGTCCGAATACATGACTAACTTACCACGTGAACCCACTCTGGCTTGTCTGGCCCTCCTGGTAGGTTCAGTTTGTACGGGGAGACATCGATCATAGAGGTAAGGTGGCCATGATACGCGCTGTAACAAACAGGGGCTAGTAGCACCCTAAAACACTTCGACGAGCGAAGTAACAAGACCTGACATCCGTTCACTCATTCATTCATTCTTTGGAATTTCGAAGTTATGGGAATGATTCGAAATATTTGGACAAATAAAGGAAATCAGTGCCTTTGCACATACGCGACATAATCACGGATCTTTTTGGCATAAAACTGTTTGAAATACATTAAATTACGAAAGCTTACCATATTTTTAGACAGATACTGTATACGAACTGTGATTTGTGCATATTAAAAATTCTCAATCCTAAATGTTGAATATCTTCAAATAGATCAAATAAGTTTACTGTCACATATAGTACAATCGAGACATCGCAAAAAGTATTTCAAATATATTTTGCACACCCTATAGGAATTATACAATTCTTGAACAAATTACTTTCTGAACATATTATCTCCAGAATCAATTATTATATTTCACGTATAAAATATCTGCCTAAAAGCTTTATGTAATCGACGATTTTCATACTAACTGCGACATGGTTATCAGGAATGATAACAAAAGCCATTAACGAGCTTTGATTTTATCTATTCGGCAAACTATCAAACATGGCTTTCACGGGTTTATCTAGACATTCATTTCAGAAAATTGCCACGTGTATACGAAAACAAAATCAACTGCCAAAGAATTTCATTCACAGCTCCCTTCCACACTGTACTGAACAAAAACCCCCTTTTGTGTTTTGACCAATTCGTAAAATGTAGATAAACTTACTGGTCGAGTGTGATGACGTCCTTATTCTTTGTGTGGATCCTGGCCAGCCTTAGAGCGAGGTCATTAGCCTCAGATCCGGAGTTGACGAGGAAGCAGACAGAGAGAGGCTCGGGCAGGGTCTTAACCAGTCTCTCAGCTAGGATCACTAGCTCGTCGTGGAGATATCTGTTATTGGTTGATATCAGAGACATTTGGTTACGACCTGCCTCGACCACGTGAGGGTGGCAATGCCCAACTGTAGGAAGGAGAATTAATTTTAATATGTAGTTTTACATAAAATCAAAATATGTTGTAAGAACTTTTTAAAGTGCCTACAAGCGTAGCGTTTGAAGTGGTATAATTTGGATCGATCGAGTCAGTTTTTCTAATTTTTATGGACCTGCGAGTAATAGGGACCAATCTTTATCCCAGGTTATTCATTATTAATCAAAAGTAAGGTTTCTTTATCAATTAACATTAACTTAATTTAATGCCATCTTGTCAAAATAACTTAATGTAATGTCATCTGTTAATGTCTTTTTAATCACAGGAAATCATACTTAGACATAATGGACTGACGTGTGCTGATGATGTTGCAAAAGATAACTTTCTTACCGTGAGCAACGTTGTTGATGCAATCGAGATATCTTTCGCCCGTTTCATCATACATGAATTGCGCGATACCGCGGACAATTTTTAATGGTGATGAACGGAAGAATAATTGACACGCCGCCCTGCAATAAAAAAACAGGTTATAGAAATATGCAAAAAAAAACATTGCCAAAAAACTGACTAAAAAGAATCATGCTGTATATGAAATAACAACATCTGCCAAATGTATAACGGAATAACGATATGTTATAACTTTATGAATTGTAAATAAAATAATCTGTCTAAAAAGAATCATGCTGTATATGAAATTACAACAGCTGCCAAATGTGAAACGATATGATATAATAATTATGTATATGAGTATATTTTATGACATCAATTTGGCACTAGATTGATGTTGGCACTTTTACATACAAGTAATTGAGAGCAAATTATTATGTTCAAAATCATACATACCCAATGTGCTTTTCGCGGAGCTTGATTGTTTCCGCCTTGGGCATCGATTGTAGGTACGCCATTGTGTCTGTGAAAATTTAATCTGAAAATAAAATAATTAAATTACACATTCGAATTCATGAAAAAAATCTAAAATGTTTTTTCAAAAAAAATTACCTGTCGAATGCACCGACCGCGTTGCGTCTATAATCTATCAGTTGTTGGTCTAATCTAAGTCGTAAACGCGAGTGACGCGTCACGCGTGAACTGCGAGCATTGAATGCTGAAAGTAGTACGTATACGCGTATTATATAGCGGGAGAGGCGCGCACGCCCTCCGCGCGACCAATGGCAACAAAACAGGGGCTATATCGTTATCACTGATAGCCGACATCGTGTTAACCCGCCGGCCACGCGACGCGGGGCGCGATGCCATGGCGCGAACGCATGGGCGTTAAGTGGAAGTCATCAAGATTTAAAGACAAGCTTTTCGCGCGGGTGCCTTGCGGATCAAACCGGAAGACATCAACGGGAATGTTCATGATTGTCAATAACAAGAATTTGGTTTACCTTTTCTAAGCGGTGCACTTTAAGTATAGAACGTCAAATTGCATCCAAATCCGTTCATCCGCATGCAACATTGTCTTACTAATATTATAAATGCGAATGTTTGTATGGATGTCTGGATGTTAACATGTTTGTTACTTTTTGACGCAAAAACTACTGAACGGATTTTGATGAAACTTTACAGTATTATCTTTATAACTCAGAATAACATAATCCTACTATCTTACTATACTAATATTTATAAATGCGAAAGTTTGGATGTCTGGATGTTTGTTACTCTTTCACGCTAAAACTACTGAACGGATTTTGAAGAAACTTTACAGTATTATTGTTTATAACCCAGAATAACATATAGCCTATAATTTATGACGATCTGTGACAAACGAAATTTCACGCAGGTGAAGCCGCGGGCAAAAGCTAGTTGTAATAGAGTTAATACAATTTCTTAGTACATTTACCTAATCATGTATAAAAAATATTTTAAAAAATATCTTGATTAAAACTAAAATTGAATGGTGTTTTAATTTGACGTTGCTATTTTTTCGATTAGGTACTGTAGTAATTATTTGTAATTACTTCTGTAATTACCAAGCACAACATTTATAAATTGACCCGGCGAACTTCGTACCGCCTTAGCGTAGAGATTTTCTTAATATTTTTTTCCGTAAGAACCATCCTTGGACTTCCACAAACATTTAAAAAAAAGAATTATCGAAATCGGTTCAGCCGTTCACACGTGATGCCGTGACAACGCGAAACGGGTTTCATTTTTATATATATAGATGTAAAATAATTAGCAAATTATTAATAATTAAGCCTTAATGTCACACATTTACTAAAAACGGTTTACAAATTATCCTGGTACCGTTTAGCCTGTAATAAACATAATAATTAACTGCTAGATTAAGGCAATACAATTACGCCAATTTTCCTCGACCCTTCTTATGACGTTCATAAGTTATCATTGTTCGTAACTTCGCACATTACCTAGGAAAATAAGATCATAAAGACTCATAAAAATAAGTCGTAATAAATTACATAGGATTGCAAGAATGCGTAATATAAATTTGACGACATTCCTAAATAAGACAGAAAACGCACTCTAAATACTGATTAATTGAGTTCAAAATTGCGAAATGAAATCGCGAAAATATTTTTGTTGACCCTACCATTTAGTTTTAAAATAGACTATCTTTGTTTATACATCAATGTGTTATGTCATTAGTAAAATGCGAAATATTTATACTCGTATACCTAACGTCGACAAACTGATATGGTTGTTTGGCAAACGTATTTGAACTTTTGAAGAATTTTCCGTCTTCAAACTGCTGTACCCCAACATTGTCATGTGATATCTGAACATAGTGATTTGGAGAAAGGAAAATCACTGCTCTAAATAGCTGTGCTATTTAATCGATATGTGATTTCATTGTTTACTTTTACTTGAGTCAGTTGCCAATTATAATTGCGATTGTGACATTGTGACTCAGCCAGATGGAGGTCTACAGTTCATATTATGATCACGCGCAGGTGAAAAATGGCTTCTTGCCATTGGATTTTAAATTTTATCTTCACTAAAAAAAGCAACATTACAAGAATAAATTTACAATGTAACATTTTATATAAGTATAACAAAATCAACATGGGCAACAATAGTTGGCTTCGTATTAAATAACGTAACAATGGAATTCACGCGACAAGAAATTGAAAGACGCGTGCGCATGTTAATTACCTTGGTAGGTGTCGCATGCTGTAAAGATAGTAGTGAATTTTGGTAATCTTTGCCATTAATGGATTTATTTTCGCAAATAATATATGTCACAGTTATTTGCTGCTAGTCTAAATGTAACACAATAAAGCTCTAAAAGTGAAATGAATCTTTTGATGTTTCTAAAATATTTTTAGTTATGCGAAATATCAAGTTCCGCACCTTACCCACTATAAAGTACCGTATGACGTAAACCCTATGTACATATTTTCCATGTCCTTATCACACAACTGTGTAATAGTGCCTTATCAAATTAATATTGTTTATACGATGTGAACCCAAAATAACCGCAGCAACCTTCTTCGGTTATCGCTGATTGATGTTGTAATCTACTGCATCGGGTTTATTTGTTTATGCAAGGAAATATGCACAAGTGCACTTACGCTAACAACTATTCAATGACGATAGTAAACAGACAACCACACGCATTTCCTGCAAAACATCTAAACCACTTCATCTAATCTACGTTTCCTATTTGTTATAAAAGCCATTCATATGAAGAGAGTCATTTTAAATTGAATTCTTCAACAACTGCATCAAGCGACTTATAAGCTGCACGAATCAATGACCGCCAAAAAATAAAAGAAAACCAAACATGGTGGTATTATTTTTCAAAATTATGTTATGCTTTTATCTCAAACAGTAATTAACCTGAGTTTTAATCGCTTCATTGTCGCTAGGCGGAGTTTTGCGACCTGCTAACCGACTGTTACTTACGTGTCTACCCGCAAAAATATTAAAATTCTTGCCCAACATTATAAATTCTTTTTTGCGATTTGGATCTAAATACAATGTTAAAATTACTTACATTCCAATTCTCGCATTGAAGCAGTGAAATTCACTGAAACAATTTTTCGGACGTAAGATCGGAGCTTCTTTGTGGCTTCTTGCTATATCGGGTGCTGCTCTGCAAAAAAAACAACATTATGAGACATTGCCCTGTGTTGGGACGAATGCAGATAAAATAAGTACTCACCTACATTGTAAAAATAAAGTTTAAGTAATCATTTCGATAATACAATCGGTTGGTCAAAAGTTATCTAATCCACTGACGTACATTTCAAGTGTTTCAGTACCATCTGGTACATTTATTTGCTGACGGTGCCTCGCACGTGGGTGTCACGCTCGGGCGCCGTGGAAAGCATGCGGCCTCTTTGCCGAAGCAGTTATCGCTAAGGCTGGACACACAACATTGGTATCGGATCAAGTGATCAATTACAACACCGCATTACCTAATATTAAATACATACCAATAAAAGTTTGTGTCCTATAAAATTAGTCTCGCGCTTCGACCATAGACAAAAATGAAAGAATAATTTTTTTGCCTTGACCAGAATCAGGAATCGCCAAGAAACGTCCTGGGAACAAAATTAGTGATACAATATTCAGTGCCAATTTACTCGTATTTACACCACCGCGAAGAGGGCCGGCAGCTACTTTATCAAAGAATAAAATAGTACCTATAGAACTTTCACTCGTTAAGTACCTATCCATATCAAACACAAAATTGCACGTTTAAAATTCTTTACACACTTTTTAAACTCAGTCCAAATACTGTTTTGAACTGTTCCCATAACAACAGGCCGTTCAATATTATGTTCAGTTTAGTCACCATTTCACAAAAGGGAAGGGCGCAGAGTGCAGACATAGATATGCCTGAATAGTACCTTCTGTTTCAGGAAAATTTTTGTCTTTGTACGTCCGGATTTGTTCTTGGCAGACCTCTCTTGCAGTTCTGTAACCTTTAGAGTACAATTTTAGCAAAACGTACAAAATTAAATTCATGTTGTAAATAGTTCGTTCCTCATAAAGTATGTATACTAATTCAGCCTCAGGGTTATTGTATGCACAATTATAAATAGACAAACCCGTGCGGCGATATCGAACTAGAGCAATAGTACAAACTTGATAATAATTAGGTCACCAGATTACGGCCAATGCATGTTCAATTCACAATCACTTTTTGTTCATTTTATTACCTTCGTACTTTGATTAATCTACATACCTACTACTAATTACCAACAGGCTATATGTGTGTGTAAATCATCAAAGCAAATTGGATCATGATATCGTCGAAATAAAACAAACATATCTTAAATATAGAATAAGTATATTGAATAATTAAATAATGTTACTTCAAGTATGTTGCCAAAAAAGACTTATAATATGTGTAATCGTAAAAGTAATAATAAAAATGTTCTAGAGGTCAAAATATTTCGAGTTTGAGTGGAAACGTACATTTCATATTCAAAGTGGGGGAATATTGCAAGTAGGTAAAATACAGAATGTTTCAATCGCTCACGTTGTGGTTCGACATGCAGCGAACCCAAGCGAGCCTGCCATCACAAAGCGCTGAAGCTGCTCGCATGGAAAGCGACAACGTGGAAGAATCGACGGCCAAACCAGAAATCGTGCAAAACAGTCTATCTCTTTACTAATTAATATTACTATACTTTTATAATTACAACCTTTTGCGACAACGGAGCAAAATGTCTAGTGCTATATACTTTATAAATATAATATTACAATAATCATAATTATGGGCACTTCTATCTTATACAGGATGTCATAAAACAATTGCACTGACGAACTCAATGAAATGTTTTATTATGTGACGCGACTATTGTTTACAGACACCCTGGGCTTCAAAGTAAGACTCCACATTTGACTATTTTATACTGTCAGTCTTACGTCCTGCAATGTTCGTGGTGGACAATTGAACGAATCAGTGACGACCCGAAGACAAAACTGTTTGTAAGCATACATAAATATTCCGAGGCGGTACAATTTATCGTCAAATATATGCACAATGCAAGTGAGCAAGAACGTCCTTATCGCTGACAGTCAATATTGAGATAACAAACAGTCATTTCTTCTGCACTGCGATTGCAAATGACATAATACGCGATATGAACAATAAAAATATCATTATACTTTATTACGTACACTAATAAGTAGCCATTCCAAATCTGTAATGGTTACATACTTTAATAGGCGGAGACACCACACTTACAAAGTGTAATAATTAAACTACAAATCCAGATGTATAAAATAATTATGCATCATCGATTTAGAACTAAATAGAATTGTTACTCTGTAATCCTCGATACACCTAACTGACTGTGATGTGACGTAGATTCAGCAATATGAGTATTACAGGTGAAAAGAAATACACGAGACCGGACTTTATCAAATTTGACGCATTTCTATATTAACACTACCAACCGATGATTCCAAATCCTGCAGCAAAACTGAATCTAATACAATTCCGTACCCCGCCCAGTTTGATATAGTCGCAGTCAGAACAATAACATTTCATTGCTCACGTTTCCCAAACAAGTAATCTAATTGCAGTACTAGATTTTATACAAAGACCGTTTGTGGAAAAGACATACAAAATGTACCACGCGTAAGGCCTCAGCCTCGAACATAGCGGGCAGCGGCGCGGGAGCGGCGGCGGTGCGGGAGCGGCATTATCTTATGCGTAAAATCAAATAGACCGGTTCTCGAACACAGCGGAGCGGCAGCGGCGCCGGAGCGGGCAACGAGCGGGCAGCGGCGAGGGAGCGGGCAACGAGCGGGCAGCGCACTCCTTCTTTTGCCCACAATAAATCGAGCGTAAGGAATAAATTTGAATCGAAATAAAATTGTCGCCGTTGTTCAGACATTTCGTTCGCGAATAAAAACAAATATCTCGACAACACAACCCCGAACACAACACTTCGCCGCTAAAACGCCGCGCAAGCTGCCCGCTGGTTTCGAGAACGGGTCTGCGTTGCCCGCCCCGCTCCCGCGCCGCCGCCGCCGCCGCCCCGCTGCCCGCTTAGTTCGAGGCTGAGGCCTTAAAGGGAAAATAAGATTAATAATTACTCATTCTGTATTTGATTAGGCACTCCCATGGCTCTTAAGCCAGAAAAACTGAAGCCTTACATTAACGCGTAATTTCGTTGAGACTTTTTTTTATTGATGTATGTCTAATCCACATTGTGTCTCAGTCTTCACAGTATTTTCAGACTGCATTGTGTTTTAGTGTAATAATTCCTGGTAAAAATTTAGAACAATCTATTGTATTCCATGGTACATGTGTGCGTAGTGTTGGTTGTTTCCATACAATGATATGTGATACCAAAAGAGCAAATTAATATACGACAACACCTAAAATACACCTCGCAAAATCGTCTGATACTTGGGAAATACAACTATGAACATGCATTAAACGACTAATTAAAATATGCTCCGTACTAACACCCTATAATTACCAAACTAACGATATATTTATCTTTTTTTTAATATTATTAAATATGCTTTAAAGTGTAAAAATAGTTCTTTGAGACAAATTTCAAAGCATCATTTAATGCCAAAATGGAGAAGAAGTAATCTTTTTTGACAAACTATACCAGGAATTGTTAATAATGCCCAACGAGCATAATAAGAATATGAAATTCTGTAATATTAAATATACATTATCCATGTAGTGTAATTTTAATAATCTAAATAGGAAAACGTTGAAGAATGAGAACTTAGTAGTACACATAGATTTGCAACGTAAAATATGGACGGCAAGTCGTTACGACAAAAATAATTTCACACCAAAATGACGCGTACTCCAAACTTGCAATATACCTTGTGAGATAGTCGCAAACGTACGTAGCACAACTATGATTCTACGTGACTACATTTCCAATATTTAATTTAAAATAGAACATTCTATCGTTTGTATAAATTCATTCAATTATTAAATTAATAACTATAATGAATCTATGGCACTAATATCTACTTTAATATTTCTGTGCAATTTTACTTTTTGTTCACTTTGCTATGCCTTCACGACGATCTCACACGCTACGGAAACTCAAACTCAAAGCGCATTATTAACGAGTCGGTAACAGTTGAATACTGTTGCGCTGAAGAAAAAACGAGTAAATAACTATAGCCCAAGAACAATAAAATGACAATACTTGATAAATACTATTCAACCAAGTGCAGAACGCACACGACAATCAAAATAAAATAATAATATAATATTGTTAGCTTTTTTTTTTCAAATTTTCACGAACGTCAATTTATTCTAACTAGCATTCTAAAATTTACTATCTACTGAATGCTGAGAGCATCCACACTTGAATGAATGCACGTTAACATCTAATTTATAAAGATATTAAACTAAAACTACTCGGCGATTGACTGGCAACAAAATAATCATTTCAATGTCAGGTTTTTTGTGGGTCGATAAGAACAATGTCTTTTGATCTTGCCTATTCTAAGCTAGCTAGAGGTATATAATTTCTTGTATATTATATTATATTATATTACCTTATACACGTGTCTAATATTCTTGCTCGCTGTATGGTTTCTAGAGTTCGGACAAACAGTCTTTAGGATGCAATCTCCGAATAACCGTTAATCTTTTTTCTGATCCAGCTTAAGTTATTTGGCAGACGCGAATTTACTAATAATTATAGACCCTAATATGGTATGTATATTTTATTCATAACAACCAAAATAGCGCAACCTTTTATTAGTAGAGTAATTAAGTAGTTTAGTGTTAAAATGCTTAGATTCAGAGAAAAATACAAACTTTAAGGAAGAACTGGTAAACAGGTTTAGATTTAGAGGTAACTCTGAAACCCTACGTAAGTAGAGGGAGGGATAGAAGAAATAATTATCTTTATTAGTTTGCTAAACAGCTTATTAGAAGAATTCATCAGAATATCGAAATTACTAGTGATACAAGCAAACAGCAAAGCAGTCTCTAGTTAATTTGAAACTTCGCTGTTATTCATTGTGATTAGATCTACTAGCATCAATTTGTATCCTTAAATCTTCAACTTCAGAGGGTCAGATTTGGAACATTTGAATCAATTAGCATAAAATGTTTCGCTTGTGTCCTAACGGGCATTTTATGATTGCAAGTTTAATATTAAGTGTAAAGGCACAAAGTGGGTGCACTGTCTGTACTGCTACTGACATAAAACAGGCACGATAATACGCTTTAGGGCACATAATATGACATTTCTAATTTTTCGGGTGACTCAGTTAAGCAACTGCTACATTCACACGCATTTTACGTTTCAGAATACGAATTGCCGAGTGTCTTCCTTGAATTTGTAAATATTATTTCCACAGTTCCCCCAGCGCACAATAAATATATTTTGTATACTGATTGTAAATACATAACCTTTGAATACCTCATTTAATATAATACTATTATACACCCAAGTATATGTATAACACGACGATTAAATACTGTCAAAATTGATAATTTTATATAAATAAGATTAAATTGTTATAAAATACATTTATAAAATGATATATTAATATTGCTTTACGGTTGGAAGAGCTTATTACATTACTATATTTCGATAATTAGAGACTCTAGATATATTAATTAATATTAAATGGCGTAGATTTGTTCGTAAAGTTTTATTTCTACTAATCGTTGTGAATCTGACTATGAAATGACAGTTCAGTTCTAGGCCCGAAGAACAACAGCGTTTGTGCAATTTAAATGAAGACTATTACGAATTTCTTAGCGATAAGCGCATCCTGAAGCTAATTGGAGCTCAGCAAATGCTTAATTAGTTACATGTTACCAATCAATGACCTCAATAACAAAAATAGGTTAACATATTTATTTATCGTCGTTAGGTTACATAACAAACCGTTAACTTCTTCAAACATCACGGGCCTGCCTTTTTGTTGCCAGCTCCATCGCCCTATATTATGTCTAATCCAAAGGCTCTCAAGACTCTACTTTGCATTACAATATAATAATATAATATAAACGTGTAAATAAAGTTAATATAGTTTAATCAAACGCACTTCTAAATTACACAAGACGTCATTATTACATAAACAATCGTGAAACTGCAAATTTCGACAAGAGAATATCAAAAATAGTGTATCGACGGTTATCGTCTACATTCTGTCTAATATTCTGTAGTCTAATGACGCTATTTAATTTTTAGGTCACTTGAAACATCTTAAGCCAATCATCAATATAATATGGACTATTGTTATACAATTTGAATTTTTTAAATGTCATTTCCAGATAAATAGTTTTATGTCATATCCAATATTGTTTTAGTTTTATTCTTATCAATTTATGACATGTCCGAGGTGCTAACACATAACAGTAAATCTAGAGACATTATTATTGCTATAAGAGACTTTATATTAATAATCCAACCAACCATTAAACTTGTTAGCAATAAGCACATTTCAAACATTAAATCTAGTGCGCTCGCCATTCCACGCATATCATTTTAAAATACGATACAATTTGTAAGATATTTTTCGTAAATATAAAGACATTTTGCTCAACATACTCCGGAAAATAATTAATTATAGCGTTGAATTAAACTAAAAAAATAATAAGGCGAATACAATGAGCGAAGTTCATACTCTAAACGCTTAACCATATAATGACAGAGATCTTTAAAACAATTCGCTAAATAGACACTGATTAGCGTTTCTTGGCAAACAACTGTTGTATGTTGTGCAAAATAGCTTGATTTTATTGTTATGTAGATTTAAAGATGTGAATTTAGTTCGCATTTGAAATGAATTTGTATTATAAACGAAGGTCCTTTATTTTGTGGAACAATTGTTTGCCGATACGCTACATTAACTAAAGAAGAACAAAATGTTAACCATAACTGAATTAAATCAAACGCTATGAAATTATGACGCAGACATAAAATTACAGAACAATTTTAGACTAAATTATTTTAAGTGTCCGGTAATGATTAACATTTTAAATAGAAACTTGTTATCATTTAATATCTTCGGCAGAAATACAGATAAAAAATATGCAATTCAAACTCACAACACAGCAGAAGATATTAAAATCAAACGAGCAGCTTACATTACACTATTACAAGAAAGAAACTAAAAACTGCAGTAATGAAACACTATGGTTCACCCATGACAGATCCTCAAACTATTGACTAGTTTACAGTTCAGTGTGTCAAGTCATTATAGCAAAATTCAAAATATAATTAGGTTTGTGGACAAAAACTTACAAGACTTTCGATTTGTGCAATGTAAATAATATAATTCAGTATAGCATAGCCAACAGTCAATAATGACAGCTAAATGAAAACTCCTTTCTGGATGTGCCATAGTCAAGTATCGATTACATTGCATTACATTTAAAACAAGCGAAATGTTGCTAAACTCCCTTTAAGGTAAAACAGTGATGGTCCATTTTCTGCCACACAATAGTATTCAATTACAACCAACTATTTAATGCACAACCGTCAACATGAGCTTCATATCCTTGATAGCGATAGGAAGTCTTTATAATAGGGACAATTCAAACGACAGGATGATTAACACACATATTTACAAATATGAGATCTCGAATGAATATGCGTTAGACGACATCCTTTTGAAAATATTACTTCACCTTCATTCGCAGCTCGCAACTTTTAGATAAATTTTCAAACAATGTAACCAGATAATCGCTACATTGCGGAGTTAGCAACATTTATTTTCATAATAACCATAAGGTCCGTCGGTTTTTTATTGAGATCGATCGCCCTCTAATCGAGTGTTATGCTAAGAGACGTAATTCGTTAATAAATCAGGTTAATGCGTAAATGCGCATGCCATTTGTGATTCGAGTGAAAATTAAGTACATCGTGTACGTGAGTGTTCAATTTGATTGTTCAAAATCAAATCGGTCCCACACGCGTCTCCCGCTTGGATATGTCTCGTTCTGGGTGGGAACGGGACGTGTGCTCGAGTCACAAATAACACAGCGTGTAGTATAGTTAGATAGTGTGCAGCTGATACAGGAGCCGGTATTGCGGCCGGCGGTGGCCGATGCAATGTGACAGTTTGCGCGCGGTACACCGCACCATACAAACTATCGGCTGCCGACGTCATTTGCCGTTCGTTTGGAGCGCCGCGTTCAGTTGAGTCCACAGGTCTTTTTTGCAGGACTTTGATCTGAAATAAAGCTCTTGCTGTGGTCATCTTCCCGGTTCATCATCCAACACTGACGTTCACTGCAAAACATAGGCCTCCTCAAATGATTTCTCGACATTTTACTCTATGACAATAACCGGTGTTTTTTGTATGGAGTTTGAAGATTTCTGACGTTTGTTAAAGTTAAAACATGATGGTGCAACTCGGCCTAAATTAACTCACCTGCGCAGCGAAGCCAGCCACTCCTTGAACTGGGTGTTTCCCTCTGGCGTGAGTTGGAACGCCGTGCGCGCCGACAGAACTATGCTCACGAACTCTTCGTATTCCACTGATGTCAAGTGGTACAACTTCTGGTGGATACATTGGATGTACCTGGCGAACGGATTGCACGATTAACAAAGGAACGCATATTTTATAGTGTAGTAGAAAAAGAGATGAAAGATCGTGGGCCGAGAGGATAGCTTGGTTTTTGGATTAACGCATATTAAAGTCTCAAATCATGGTGTAAATAAATTATGTACTATGTAGTACATCGACTCCACCCATAGCGCGTATGTCGTCGTCGTTCCGTTGCGATGCATTATTGATAGCATAAGATGACGAAGGCAATGGCATACTATTTCAGAGGTGCTACACCTAATCCAGTGAATCTGGGGGCACGGTAGTGCCCCTGCCAAGTCGAGCGCGAAGCAAACACTGCCGTACCATCCTTTACTGGAACCATTACAAGCAGCTCCATCGAGACTTGGCTAGTTTTTTACATAATGTTTTTGGTGGGATCAAATTTACACAAAGATCGCATGCAATACAATCTCTGTTTGAGACGTGTATCATCATTATTTCAACCAGAGGACGTCCACTGCTGCACATAGGCTTCCCCCAATGATTTTCAAGAACATAGGGTGGAAACGATTTGTGATCTCACTCGATTATTTCTAAACTATACATGATATGAAAAAGTTTCCATCCCGTATATTGCGCGGTAAAAAGTCTTACAAGTTCAAGCCACTTACATCTGTTGGCACTTCTGCACAGCACGAAGGGAGACACGACGGAGTTGACCGCAGAACTAATGCAAGTATTGCGCTCTAAGACGTCCAATATAAGTATAAGTTCAAGGCACTTACATCTGCTGGCACTTCTGCACTAGTGGTGCCAGTATTCCCCGCAAGTTAGTGTTGTATCACTAAATGGTGAGGACTACCTCTGGTCAGCCAGTGGGCCGACTCCACGCATAATACGTACACGAAGGGAGACACGACCGAGTTGACCGCAGAACTAATGCAATGAGGGCTATCGTTTTTATACTTAACAGTTGGCACCCCTGGCGATTGACAGGACCTTACTCTACAGTGGCGCAATCTTGATGAGTGCAAATGCGATAGTCCTCCTACCACTTTCGCGTTTACCAGTTGGTGCCACTGTCTTCGCTACTAGCAAGTGACAGGACCTTACTCTACAGTGGCGCTAACTGGTGAGCGCTAAAACGATAGCCCTCATTATAGCGCGCTAAGACGTCCAATATAAGTTCAAGCCACTTACATCTGTTGGCACTTCTGCACTAGCGGTGCCAGTGTTCCCCGCAAGTGTTGCATCACTAGATGGTAGGGACCACCTCTGGCCAGCCAGTGGGCCGACTCCACGCATAACTCATATAACACGAAGGGAGACACGACCGAGTTGACCGCAGAACTAATGCAATGAGGGCTATCGTTTTTATACTTAACAGTTGGCACCCCTGGCGATTGACAGGACCTTACTCTACAGTGGCGCCATCTTGATGAGTGCAAATGCGATAGTCTTCCTACCACTTTCGCGCTCACCAGTTGGTGCCACTGTCTTCGCTACTAGGAAGTGACAGGACCTTACTCTACAGTGGCGCTAACTGGTGAGCGCTAAAACGATAGCCCTCATTATAGCGCGCTAAGACGTCCAATATAAGTTCAAGGCACTTACATCTGTTGGCACTTCTGCACTAGGGGTGCCAGTGTACCCCGCAAGTGTTGCATCACTAGATGGTGGGGACCACCTCTGGCCAGCCAGTGGGCCGACTCCACGCACAGCTCGTATAGCACGAAGGGAGACACGACGGAGTTGACGGCGCAAACGCAGAACTGGTGCAGATATTGCGCGCCCAGACGTTTTGATATGCGGAGCAGCCATTTCACGTGCTCTCCGTATGGAGGGTTTCTGGGGAACACACAACATTTATTTTAATAAACAATTTAGCAGTATATTGGCAGTTTACATTATAAGCAGTAAAACGCATTTCGCTATTATGAAAATCGTTGCTTATAAAGCAACTCTCATTCAATTATTTTCACTTTATTTAAAACTCTATTGGGTTTCGGGGGACTATTCCCAAGAATCCTTAGCCCTTTACAAAGTGAGCCTGGTTCGTTAACAACAACTGCTATGTAGCTAGAATCCACACTTAACCGCCAAAAACCCAACCAGTTACGCCTGGTAGTCGAGCACGTAGAATTTCGTCCAATGACCCCAAGCTACCCATCCTTATCGCTCGCGCGTAATTATGTTGCTGTCGCGCTCGCACACTCACTGCGGCCACCCGTCGCACAGTCGCGACAGCAATATGCAGGGGGGCCACTTTCATGGCAGTTACCATAGGCCACATAAGCATTGCGGTATCATCACAAGACAAAGTCGTCTTACCTTCCAAACTTATTCTGTGGACGGTCATCGTGCACCCTCCTGGCTTGAGTCTCCAACGCCAGCATCCCCACTCTGTACGCCGCTAACAGTCGCCTCAGCTGCGCCTGCAGCAGCGCGGGGGGCACGGGGGCCACCTTCATGGCAGTTACCATACGCCATATAAGCGTTGCGGTATCATTACAAGACAAAGTCGTCTTACCTTCCAAACTTATTCTGTGGACGGTCATCGTACACCCTCCTGGCTTGCGTCTCCAACGCCTGCGGCAGCGCGGGGGGCACGGGGGCCAACTTCATGGCAGTTACTACACGCCATATAAGCATTGCGGTATCATCACAAGACAAAGTCGTCTTACCTTCCAAACTTATTCTGTGGACGGTCATCGTGCAACCTCCTGGCTTGCGTCTCCAACGCCAGCATCCCCACTCTGTACGCCGCTAACAGCCGCCTCAGCTGCGCCTGCGGCAGCGCGGGGGGCACGGGGGCCACCGTCGCGGGGTCAGGGGGCCACCTTCATGGCAGTCACCATACGCCACATAAGCGTTGCGGTATCATCACAAAGCAAAGTCGTCTTACCTTCCAAACTTATTCTGTGGACGGTCATCGTGCACCCTCCTGGCTTGCGTCTCCAACGCCAGCATCCCCACTCTGTACGCCGCTAACAGTCGCCTCAGCTGCGCCTGCGGCAGCGCGGGGGGCACCGGGGGCCACCTTCATGGCAGTCACCATACGCCACATGAGCGTTGCGGTATCATCACAAGACAAAGTCGTCTTACCTTCCAAACTTATTCTGTGGACGGTCATCGTGCACCCTTCTGGCTTGCGTCTCCAACGCCAGCATCCCCACTCTGTACGCCGCTAATAGTCGCCTCAGCTGCGCCTGCGGCAGCGCGGGGGGCGCGGGGGCGGCGGGCGCGGGGCCCACGGGCGCGGGGGGCACGCCCGCACCCACGCCGGGGGGCAGGGGGGCCACCGCGTTCACCTGGTGCTGCGGCGCCGGCATCGGTGGCGGGATTGGCACTGCGTGCTGTGGGTGGTTAAGATTAGTTTAAATAGAGGAAAAAAGTTGTTACATAAAATACAGTAGGAAATTAGAAAAGGATAAATGCAACTTGTAATGCGGATCGATATGGAAACAAGCAATTTAATGAGTCGATTAAACGATATCCACTACAACCTTTTGACCTCTCTCTCTGCCTTCATTCTGGCCAGACGCATTGGGAAGTCCTTTTGAACGCGTCAACACATCCAAGTTTATGTTTTAGGCTAAGTACTCACGGAGCGGTTTCAGCCCGTGTCTGCCGCGGTTTCGGGACGACTGTTTTATTCCAAAACTCACGAGACTGCTGGATGCGGTTAGTGAAGGTTGCGAGAAGCACCTGGATGCGAGCAACGCAAGACCCGTCGTAGTAGAAATCTTTGGGTTAGGCCTTGGTTAAGAATGGCCATGTTCTGTAGACGTAGATATTACTCACGTTGACATTGACGTTGACGGCTATAGGCTGCGGGTGCGGTAAGAAGACGCGTGGGGCGCGTGCGGCGCATGCGCAGGTTGCGGCGCAACCAGCCCGCGCACGAAGTATGGCGGCAGTACAGCAAAAGTACTGATTGACATTCCAGCGATTGGGTCCACTTAAAATTTAACCCGGGGGCCATTAGGGAAGTGGATTCGCCTCAGGATTGATCAAATGACATTTTCGTGCAAATTGAAGAGTTTCACTCACGTTGACATTGACGTTGACGGCTATAGGCTGCGGGTGCGGTAGATGAGGCGCGTGTGGCGCATGAGGCGCGTGCGCAGGATGCGGCGCCACGAGCCCGCGCACGAAGTATGGCGGCAGTACAGCAGAAGTTCTAGTGAAGGTTGAAAACACTTGGGCGGAGGCTGCTGCAGCTCAAGACCGATCATTCTAGAAATCCTTGAGGGAGGTTTTTGTCCAGCAGTTGACGTCCTTTGGCTGAAATGATGTGTAGGCGTAGATGTCACTCACGTTGACATTGACGTTGACGGCTATAGGCTGCGGGTGCGGTAGATGAGGCGCGTGTGGCGCGTGCGGCGCGTGCGCAGGATGCGGCGCCACGAGCCCGCGCACGAAGTATGGCGGCAGTACAGCAGAAGTACTTATTGACATTCCAGCGATTGGGTCCACTTATTCAACCCGGGGGCCATTAGGGAAGTGGATTCGCCTCAGGATTGATCAAATGACATTTTCGTGCAAATTGAAGAGTGTCACTCACGTTGACATTGACGTTGACGGCTATAGGCTGCGGGTGCGGTAGATGAGGCGCGTGTGGCGCGTGCGGCGCGTGCGCGGGATGCGGCGCCACGAGCCCGCGCACGAAGTATGGCGGCAGCGCGTACTGCGCGCCCGGATGCGGCGCGGGCGCCGGAGCGCCGTACTGCAAACAAAAATATGCTTAGTGCGAGCCCAATAACTGAACATTTTTGTGACAAAGAAACACACAACATTTTTGTGACAAAAAACACACACGTTTAGAAAAGTCTGATAACACCGGTCGACAAAAAAAATTTTTTTTTTTGAAAGCAAATTTATATAAAAAAGTGTGATTACAAATCGAAAATACCTATTTTCTTTTTAAAGAGTTATAGCGATTTGAATTTTCCATCTTTATAGTAGAATGTCTCTAAAGATGCACGTCACATTCTCATTGGGATATATTTATAGATAATTATGGGGGGTTATTCGCAAGAACAAGGGGCACGCTTTCATCAAAATATAGTGGGATTTGAGAGACGACGTTACCAAGGCCAGTAAAGTGAAAGCATGATAGGGTTAGATTTTTATGAGAAAAATCTTCTATGGAACATGACAGGAAATTAGAACTTTTCATTTTTAATAAATATTTGGACTCTATTTTAAATTTTCTACTGTGAGAATGAATCATAAATGGATGTTTGGTACGTTTTAATAATTAGAAAGAATGAAAGAAAGAAAGAAAAAAAAATTGGCAACAAATTAAATCATCTCTATGTTCATGTTTCATACACTCATTGATACGAATTTTTCTATTTTTTACACAAAAGCAAATTCAGAACAATTTTTTGTTGTTATTCTTATTTCTAGATATTAAAGCAATAAAAATAAGCTATGCATATCCCGTGCGCAAAAATGCTGTAGACAGTTGTAATAATTTATTGTCGAAACACAATTGAATTCCCAGGGCTACAGTTATATGTTCTTCCAGAGAATTTATTTTCTAGGTGCTTTCGAATTATTGGATGTTTCGATTACACAAGATGCTGGTGGCTACCCACTACCGTCGACTGGTAGCTAGGAGCGGCTCCGTTTGCGCATCCGTTTACAGCATCTCGTACACGCATACAGTTCGTAACACTCAAAGTAACCAAAAAGTTCGAACGTNTACGGAAATTGTAAAGTTAAATTAATTACAAATGGATCCATCGTATTTCAAGTCCTGTATAGTGCCCCAATGTACAAGCACAAGAATAAAAACGCCAAACAAGTTATTTATAGGTATACGTACCAAACAATCAGCAGATACGTAAAATATGATGTCCATTGTTTATCAACAAAATCAAGGATGTATTTTTGTGAAGATCATTTCAATGTAAGTTAGATATTTCACACAACATAATCTGATATCATGTACCTACATATTATAATGAAATTGTAGAACTTTGTTTAAGAATAATGATAACAACAAAATGAGGTTAGGAACTATTCATGACATATTTACCAACAAACTTCACTTTTTTTTTAATATAGAAATTCACGGCTCTGGGTCAAGACTTCACATGAAGAAAAGTGTTGCCAGTCGGGTCTTGTCAGAAATTACCAGAAATGGGAACATTTATTCATAAATGGGAAACTATAGTATTATTATATTATTTATATCACTTAGTTGTAATGTACAGTACCTATATCTAACATTATTTGCCAAAACTCGAGACATAATGTAAAATTATTTGTTGAGCCCTATAAAGGAAAAATATCTACAAAGAAGAACGGTCACGCCCCATACAAAAAAAACCCAGACCCGACAGAAACGAGACATACCTCAGTTTTTTTGTCACGTCTTAAGGGGCCATCCATAAAGTACGTCACACGAATTTCATGATTTTTTGACCCCCCCTCCGTCCTTGTCACAGGTGGTCACATTTCTGAGACCCCCCCTCCCTAGTGTGACGTCACATGTTTTGCAATTTCACATCGAAAAATTATTAAATTAACAGCAGTTCCGAAATTAGTTTTATTTCTATTTAAATTAAGTATTTTTTTATATGAAATCAACATTATATCAAATATTTGAAACAATTGAAATGTGATGTCACGAAACTTAGGACCCCTCCCACCCCTTGTCACACCATGTCACACTTTGTCAACCCCCTCCCCCCCTCTTTACGTGTGACGTACTTTATGGATGACCCCTAATTAGTTAAATTATATATTTTTTATATTCGAAATCTATGTATAACACCAAAATATTACCCTTTGTTTTTGTTCAGGCGTAATACAAAAACTAATACAAAATGCCTATTTGTGACTATGACGCCTGAACAAAAACAAAGGGTAATAATTTGGTGTTATAAATAGATTTCGAATATAAAAAATATATAATTTAACTAATTAAGACATGACAAAAAAACTGAGGTATGTCTCGTTTCTGTCGGGCCTGGGTCACAGATGACCGTTCTTCTTTCGAAAAATCACCTAAAAGGTTACAAAAATAACCTTCTAGCAACACTCAAATGTTGGCAATGACAATCTGGCCTAAAAGGGCTTGCACCCAGAGCCGTAAAAAACGATATTAAAAAAAAAAGAAAAAATGACGTAACGCTTTCTGATTGGTGTTTGCTGTCACGTGACTTATGGGCCATTTTTTCCGAATTTATTTGCTAAAAATATAAATAATCTTTAATTATTATTTTATGTAGTTTCGTTTTTCATTAATTATACGACTATCTTAATAGTTATACAATCTTAAACTGCAGATTTATTCACTGTGGATACAAGCCTATTAGTTTGATTTTGTTACAGCTTAAAGGTATTATAGACCTGAGTATTTGGTATGAATTTCAATTTAATACCTCTACGCGTTTATGAGGAAATGGGTAGTAAGTTTAAAATTATTTAAAAAAAAAATATTATGTGATGTAACTAAAAATTTATGGTTTTCGTAATTTTTCCTTTATCTATGCTATAAGACGTTGCTTCGTTCTGAGTTCACGGGAAGCACCCTGTAGGTTTTGATTCCCTTGCAAGTGTCGAAAATTTGCGGCATAAACGGCTGTATCTTTTGATTGCGTTGGCTTAGAAGTTTGATTTTTTCACAGCTTCAAGGGACAGTAGACCTGAGTAATTGATATAAATTTCAGCTTCATACCTCCACGCGTTCCTGAGAAAAAGGGTCTTGACAGACGGACGGACGGACAGACGGACAACAAAATGATCCTATAAGGGTTCCGTTTTTTCCTTTTGAGGTACGGAACCCTAAAAACGATTATTATATTAACAATTTTAATTGCACAAATTACTAATAGTCCCGTTAGCCTCTCCTGGTAAGCTAAATAAGCTTGTGTTACGAGGGGGCTCACCACTATAGTCGAGCGGCTTTGTTACAGGAATAAGGTTGCATTGTCAACTTTTTAGCCACTTTGGGTGTCACTATTTGGCGCTGACTGTACGGCACGTCTATTTTTTTTTAAATTGTGTTGAGCGGCTGTTCTGGATCCATAAAGTCCTAGTATCACTGCGACCGGTGCCGATATTGTAATCGCTACTGTTTTCCTTAAAATTCGCCTCCGAGTCCTGCATCCATTAGGTAGTGCAGTATCTTTTGGGAGGCGATATGTTTTACATCTTGTGGACTTAGGATGTGTTCTACAGTTCGTCTAACGTTAACCACTGACCTGCAGCTGATAAATCGGCGGCGGGTACGGGTGGTACGTGAAAGGGTACGCCAATGGGTACGGAACGGGTACAGCCACAGGCGGCGGCGCCGCCTGGTACCGCGGCTCTTCTAGTAATGGCTCCGTCTGTTCTTCATTTGATTGTCGTAGGTATAACTCGTGCCAGTATCGGGCTACGGTGTATAATACTTCGGGGTACACTCCGCCACCTGGATATAAAAAATATAATTAGACCAATCAAACTAATCTCTATTTTGTTAACCTTTTACATTACATGCAGACATTTTTTGTTCGTTTTGAAACTTTTGATACAGTTCAAAATATGGTGACATAATTCAATCACCATCAGCGTTAAAATGAATTTATTTCCCTAGCATTCCGTCGCGTTTCTTTACTCAAGTGACGTTTGGTTTTCTACAACCCTATTCCCAATTTATCTAACCTGAAAATTGAAAATCGTCAACGATGACAGTAGCAACTGTGACTACTCGATTATCGTCATAAGAAAATATATCACTAAAGCCCGGTCTGTGAGCACGTAAAATTTTGTCCAATGACCCCAAGCTACCCATCCTTATCGCGCGCGACTGTGCGACGGGCGCCCGCAGTGAGTGTGCGAGCGCGACAGCAATATAATTACGCGCGAGCGATAAGGATGGGTAGCTTGGGGTCATTGGACAAAATTCTACGTGCTCACAGACCAGACTATACCAGTCAATAAAAACCACTTTAAAAACCATACCTTTAGCAGCGGCCTCGACTGTAAGACAGGCCCGTTCTAGCATAGCGTCGCTCTGCTCTTTACACTGCAGCACCGCGCGTTGTATTTCATTGTAGTTGAGCGCGTGCGCGTGCGGTAACACTGACAACGCTAGTTCGGCCGCCGCGCGAACCGTGTGAACGTCGCGGCCTGATGACGCCTGGAAATACACGTCTTGTAAATATGTGACGAGCTGTGTAATAAAGCTAAATCCTGGTTCGTGAGCACGTAGAATTTTGTCCAATGATCCCAAGCTACCCATCCTTATAGCTCGCGCGTTATGTTGCTATCGCGCTCGCACACTTACTGCGGGCGCCAGTCGCACAGTCGCGACAGCAATATAATTACGCGCGAGCGATAAGGATGGGTAGCTAAGGGTCATTGGACAAAATTCTACGTGCTCACGGACTGGGCTATAAATGGAACTGTTCCCACCACAGCAACTTCTATGTAGCCAGGATCTATAGATTCACCACCAATAAGAACCAAACCAGTGAAGGCAATGCTGCTGACAACGCCACTCTTGTAGCGGAGTTTTGGGCAGACACTGTAGGTTTGTTGTCGACACGATAAGAAGAAGTGAAGGCAAGTTACTGAGGATGTGGGTTATGACATCTGACACACTATGGACTATTTGATGTTTCACACGACACTATCTAATATTTTTAGATGGTATATTTATTTTAATCACTAAGGAGAAGAGGAGATTATTGCAAAAGGTTTGACTATCCATTCAATAAACTTTTGGTTTTCTGCATGTTTGTTCCAGATTCAGAATTTTTAAAATAACCAAATCAACATTACAACCAACAAAAAGGTATTACTGTTGTAGAATGAAATCGTAACTAACCTTGTCTGCAATTCCCGCAGCTTCAGGAGGAGTCAAGTGACCTTCCCAGGCGTCGATAAGGAATAATATCGCTGGCGCTCCAATATCCATCGCTTGTCCTACAAATAAAAAAAAAACAACTTTAGAAATCAGATCATACCAACTGCTGATTGTTTAGGACACTAGCAGGCCAGTAGAATTAAACACAAAAATGAATTAAATCGGAAATAATTCTTACTAAAGATTTTAGTGCTTTAATGTGTTATGTATGTACTAACAACCCTTGTATTCGGTTCGGGTGTTTGATTATGGGCTTTTCGGAAGGGTAAGTCCGTTACGCGGTATAACCGGTAAACCGAAAAAGCGCCCCTTTCGGGGGCCCCCACCACTTAAGCACAGCTCCGTCGAAGTCGAAAACCTAGGAGAGTCTTAATGGGCAACCAATGAAGCAATTAAAGCAATACAATCTTTTGTAGGAATTATTTCTTATTTAAAATCTAATTCTACTGGCCTATAGGGTTTTTCTTCGTTATATCAATTAAATCAGTCATTCGTAATCCCCAAATAGTAAAATTATGTATGTGTACTTACCGGTAATCCAACTGACGTGCGAGGAATATGTACGGCTGAGCCAGTTCGCGCTAACACAGTTGTGTAGACCGAGGGCGTATAGGCCTAACTGGAAGGCAGCCATGTGCAATCCTCTGAAAAATATATTTAAAAAATGAATATTGAATGAGGGTTTCGCGATTGAAAAATCCGCCAGATGGCAATACGTAGACGCGAGGTCCAAATGCTGCATGATTGGTGGATTTTGACATATCTGTCACGGTCATGTCAAAAATAACCAATCATGCAGCATTTAGACCTCGCGTCTACGTATTGCCATCTGGCGGATTTTTAAATCGCGAAAACCCTCATAGAAAAAGATATTATACCTCGACAAGGCGTAGTGTGGGCAAGCCTCCCACTAGGTGGACCGACGACTTGGTGAAGGTCGCTGAAGGTGCCTGGATGCGGGCTGCGCAGGAGCGGTCTTTGTGGAAATACTTAGGGGAGGCCTTTGTCCAGCAGTGGACGTCATTCAGCTGAAACTAATGATTGTACCTGTAAAATTGAATTTTCTCTCACCTGTGAGGTCCATGATGCTCCCTCGCGCAAGAGGTCTGCGTGAACAGGCTTGTACTGGACGAGCCTCCAGCTTTGAACAGCACTGACTTTGCTAACTCGAACATAAAGTGCGCGGACGCTTCTGACGGCTGATTTGGCACTGACGGGTAGAGTCTCTTGCCTTTGTATCTGTGTAACGAAAATGTATAGAAATCACCGTATGGTAGTTGTATAGGAACTTGACGTTAATAATTGTAGATTAATTTTATCTCAAAGTGGTAGTAAAAGTTATCAGTTTGTCACAGAAAGACTTTTTTTCAAGACAATTATATTCTAAATGTTATGCTGATGTATAAACAAGAACATAATAAAATTTCTTTTAAGTCCATCGAGTAGTTATTGTTTGAAGGAGTAACAAAATATCCATTCATCCTGACTTTTCACATTTATCATATTTTATAAATTGGAATCATAGGAATAGGAATATTAGTAGGATAGTAGGAAGTTACAGAGAATAGTGCCCGCTTTTACCATCAATCCCTTATTTTTAAGTGACCCCTATACTATAGTAACACATAACAGGAATTTTGTTTTCATAGGGGTCACTTAAAAATTAGGGATTGCTGGTGAAAACGGGCAGAGGGCTAGCAGAAAGTAGGTTAAGATATTATGTATATTAAAACTAGCCCGAACAATTATCCGAGATTAAAAAAAACCTTACCTAGAATCCTTCGGCCTGACTAACGGGGGGTGAGTAGGCGGCGGGTGCGAAGAGTGGCCACTGTGGCTAGTGTGGCTTGCATGGCCAGTGTGGCTAACGTGGCCACTGTGACTGGCATGGGCCCCGTGAGGAGCGTGGGACGAATGCGGGTGCGCCGGTGGCGACGGTCCACCGTCTGACACCACCATACGCTCCATATCAGACACAAGAGCGCAGGGCGGCTGGATATCAAACAAACGAATGTCATAATAATTATTACTGACGGGATAGCTACCACCTTAATTTTGAATTTCCGATATTTCGGCAATGTTGCAAGTACCATTTAATCTATATACAGGGTGTCCCGTAATGTAACGTCAAGCCGGAACTGAGTGTTGAGGCAAGTTATGCTGGTTATCAGAAAAATATAAAAAAAAATCTATGTGGCATTTTGTCAAAATAATAAATAGGCATTTAAAAAACAAACAAAAAATTCTACTCCCGGTGACAGTCTTTTTACTCGTGTTGCCACAAATCTTCACTTATTCCAAATTTTTTTTTTGTTATGTTACCCTGAATAATCCTTCTCTAAATTGTTATCAAAATTACAAAACCAGCTGCTCCAGCTTGGATGAAAAAAATACAAACCCAAAAAAAAATTCAAAATAAAAATTTTGCCTAGTTTTAACCGACTGTACTGAAAAAAAATTTACTACGCGAGTGTGGCAAGTGACGTCATAATTTGGCGCATTTAGTAAGGATTCCAAAATGGTATAACACTTGGTAAATTCTTGCTGTAATTGTCGACAATTTTTGTTGGTGAGCATTAAAATGATAGCCCTCATTACAATTAATAAAATGAATCATCTTGATAGAATAATGAATAATGAAGTCCAATCAATACTCAAGCAATATCTTTGATCTTTTGAGTGCATACCTGTGATGGCATATACGGCGCGGGATGACTTGGGTACGCGTTGGAGTTAGACGAAGTGTCCGCTCTATACGCAGCAAGTCGCGGGTTGTTCGTGTAATACATGCTGACCATCGGACCTTTGGTCAGCTGGTGGATTTCGCGGTCTAGTAACTGTAAGAACGTTTTTAAAATTATAAGAACTAGCGACATTAATGTGTAAGTTTTGAATATTTATAACAAAACATAAAACTGTAACATCTTTATTCAACTAGGAATTCAATGTCCCACATTTTATATCCGATTGAGTTTTGATCTAATTCGTTGAGGGGTTCCAAGACGATAAGCTAATCAGCACTAGTCACACATTACGATTATTTACCCAGGTTTTCGTATCTGTTTACCTGAGTGGATTAATTCCTAGGTGAACAAAGGCGACCGCTTTAGTCGACTCAATTCACCTGGAAAATGAAGCTAGGTGAAATGGTTCCGAGGTGAAATGAGGACATGAAATTTTTCATTTTCACCCAGGTTATATCACCCAGGTGAACAAAGTGGAATAATCCACACCCAAATACGTATAACTACATAATGCAGCAATTGATAAATTACCTTGTTCATAATCCTGGCCAGTTTCACTGGGTCGTCTTTGTAGAACGACAACAGGGTAAGCGCTAACTCCCCTCGCTGTCTTCTCGTACCCTCACATAGCAGAGGATGATCTGCCTCCGACACGTTAGCCTTTAGTCCTAAAGCCGCTACTGCCGCTTCGAAACCTAACGCTTCGTCGGTTGGCATTCTTGACTGAAAACGAACACGACGTTATAAAACCATCGTCTTTAAAAAAAAAATATTGACATTAAACAGTCATAAAATAATGTACGAGTTCGGTATACACTCGAAAAGGTTTAACCGCCTCTGTGGTCTAGTGGTAAGACCACCTGCTTCAGACGCAGAGGTCCCGGGTTCGATTCCCAGTGGGGGCAGATTTTTCTGGTCGGTTTGGTTGGTGGTAGGGTTTGTTCTAAGTCCGCCTGGCTAGCTACCACCATCTTACCTAAGTCTGTCGCCAAAACAAAAATGTTAACAGCATTATTGTGTTCCGGCAGTTAGAGGTAAGATAGCCAGTTCCTCCGTGATTGAGGATTCCGGGTGAAGCTCGCTTCCACCTTCGGCCTGATCGTCACTTACCATCAGGTGAGATACAGGCAAAGAGCTTACTCGTTGTGGATAAAAAAACAATTAAAAAAAAGGTATAATTTTCAATATACACTGGAAGTAAACCAAACTTACTGGATGTTTATTTTCTTTGTCAGTCGCTGATAACGCCAGCACGTCAAATAGGAAACTGGCCAACGCAATAGGCAGCAAAGCTGGCCCTCGGTTTCTGGAGAGAAATTAAAAATTAGACAAATATGTAATACAGTAAGTACATAATTCTAAATGTGCAAGAACATGAAGGAGAATTTTCTGTGCCAAGGCCAACTCAATTGGTTGTGCGAGGCTGTGCGTATAAAATGTAGCTATAAATATGTAAGTCTGGCCAGTAGTTAGCGTTACTTGCCCAGTCTAACTACACTTTTTATCTTAGATATCAGTGAAACCACATCGTTTAGAAATTCTAGATGGACTTGACTAGAGCATTAAACACACATCTTTTGTCTTAATTCGTGTTCTCCCTAACTTTTCACACGTTTCTATACGTTTTCTAAGTCTATCTACATTCCTAACTAAAAGTCTTAAGTTATTTAGTTTCTGCATATACACTTTTATAAAGCGCTTTCACACAACTTTACCTCAAAGCCCCATCCCTGAGTTGCTCAGCCTTCTCCCTGGCCAGTGCCAGTTGTTCGGCGCCAGTCGGCAGTTTCTTCAGCAGCGCGACCAGCTCAGTCTCTTGGTTGTTGAGCTTCACCTCCAAAGCCTTGGTGCTGGCCGGTGGCCGCGCCATTTCTAACGCGAACAGACCCACGCGGAAAGCTAGTTCATGGTGTTCGCTGAACTCTGCTAACACCTGTAGGAAGATTAAATGAGCTGTGTAGTATCCTACTAACAATAAAGCACTCTAATACATATTATTTCTGACAATGTTTATTTTATTATACAACTCTAACAAGGCCATCCGCATTTTGGAATTCCTACATAGCCATGAACATTTTTAGGCCTAAGCTCAGCTAAAAAGCTTGGCCTATGTATGATGCCCTATAATAAGATGTGCTACTTTAAACTAAAAAATAAAAAATATTTCCGTAGACGCACACAACACAACAAAATAATATCACCAGCGTTTTTGCGCATGAGAATACAGAAACTATCAAAAATACAGTGTGAGTCACGTTAAAGTGTACATATGAAAATAGATGAAACTAGACCTATTTTTATCGACAAAAAAGAGGTCAAAAAATTTTTGAGATTTTTTTTTTAATTTTTTATAGAATTTTTTTTCTTCCAATTACTTATTGTAAAGAAAACATAATAANTGTAATTTTGATAAAGACAAGTTAGATTTCAAATAAAAACAAAAGATTTCGAAGTAAAATAAGCATTTTAGTTAAAATTAAAATTGTCTCTACCTGTAGCGGAGAATAATGTTGTGGCAGGCCTTTGTTCAAACGATCATAGCAAATGTTGTGATAGGGATAGAGACATGCGATTTTTGGTTTTACAAAGATAATACGATAGAAAATAATACAAAGCAATAAAAACCACCGGTTATAGGGGCATTTTTTGGAGAAATTTATAAAATAACCAAAAAAACACGAATTTTTAAGGAGATTTTTTTCAAAAAGTATCATTTTTTATTATTTTTTGGCATTTTTTGTGTATTTTATGTATTTTTTTAGTATCGCCTGTTATTTAGCATTATTACTGTTTTTATTTTATCAGGATATACCGCTTAGTTTAAAAGTTATTACGTTTTCTTTACAATAAGTAATTTGAAGAAAAAAAATTCTTTAAAAATTAAAAAAAAAATCTCAAAAATTTTTTGACCTCTTTTTTCTCGATAAAAATAGGTCTAGTTTCATCTATTTTCATATGTACACTTTAACGTGACTCACACTGTATATAATCACTAGCGGCCGCCCGCGACTTCGTACGCGTCGATCCCGTTTTACCCCGTATCTTACGCAGTATAGATTTTTTCATACAAAAAATTTTTCCCATGGGAATTTTGCAATATCCTGTTGTAACTAAGCTTTAAGTTTACTAAGGTACCTGCATGCCAAAGGACAATGACCAAAAGTGGTCCAAATGTCCACCACTAATGAGACCTATATTGGCTTATAGTCCATTAAATAGAAATTAACTTTCAGTATGGGAAGAAAAAAAAATAAGCTGTCAGTAAAAAGTTATGACCGTATGAAAAATTGTGGTAGTTTACGCGCTAATATCAAGAACTACTGTTCCGATTTGAAAAAATCTTTTTGTTATGGATAGCCCATTTATCAAGGATGGTTTTAGGTTAATAACATCACTCTACAACCAAACAGTAAAGACAAATGTTGTAAAATTGGGAAATATTATCAAACTATTTTCACTCGTACAAAGTCGTAGGCACAACTAGTACATCGCGCCACATGCGACATGACATAACATGCGTAGATTAGTCCAAAATGTGCGATGGATAGAATGATATCAAGAACATTTTTCGGATGAAAAGGTAAAAATCATGACTTTTCATACAGTCATAACTTTTTACTGACAGCATATTTTTGATTGCGGTTTGGTTATAATGAATCAGTATTTAGTAGACTTTTTTACTACATAGGTCTCGTTAGTGGTGGACATTTGGACCAAACTCCATACATTTTTGGTCATTGTCCTTTCAAGGGTTTAACTAAAGCGCTTTAGATTTTTCATACAAAAGGATTTTCCCGCTAATTCCCGTTCCCGTGGGAATTTCGGGAATTCCTTTCTTAGTGCACCTCTACGGTACCTAAGCTACGTCCCTTCCAAATTTCAAGTGCCTACGTTTAGCCGTTTAGGCTGTGCGTTGATATGTCAGTCAGTCATTCAGTTTCTCCTTTTATATATTTAGATGATTTCCAATCCAAACTAAAAATAATGATTCACATCATAAGGTAATTTAGTCTCCACTGCAAGAGTATGACCCTCTCCTTTCTTATATGAGTAAAATATAAAAATCTTAGGCAAAAAATATATAAAACCAACTTACCGTGCAAAGGAAAGCGCACTTCGCCAATGTGGCAGACGCCAAGCACGACAGCCTGTGACTCGCGGCGCAGAGCCTCGGTGAAGGCGTATGACGTCGCCGAGGCTTTCTGGGGTCGTGAGGTGGGATGGAAGCCACTGCTCCCAACGCTGGAGGCCTAAAGAAGATATACAGAATTGTTAAAGTTTGTTTGAGACAGGAGTATTAACCGATGAATGCCACGGTTTCCAACGCTGAATGCCTACACAGAAAAGACCACTCGGTTTAAGAGACAGGTCAGTCAACCTATCATCACCATTGTCAGGTCAACCACACCTCTCAAAGCTGAAGGTTTACATAAAACAGGTTTGGTTTCTGAGACAAGACAGTAAATACGGCTCTACTGCAGGAATACAACTCTCAATTTATAAAAACCATATGGATTTCGGTGACTCCACATATCGTCATTGACTTGCTCCATAAATGGAGGATGGGGATTGTGACTTTTGTCTTCTACAAATCCCCGTTCGGTTTATAACACATTTTAAGCGGCCGTAGCGATATCCTTCCTATACGAACAATGCACACGAATAATGCACCCGCAATGAAATAATCAGAAGATTATATAGGAGGAGTTCGGAGTAAAGGAGTTGGTCCTTTACTCCGAACTCCTCCCTTATTGCAAAGCAGATGACAAGTGAATAAAAACTTACCTAGCCAACAACTCTCTCGCCAGCCTAGCGCCCAAAGCGCAAGCCTCTCTCAAATGTCCATGGGCTTGCAATCCTTCGGCGCGGGCGAACGACACCTCCCACATGCATTCCCAGCTACCAGCTCCCGTGACGCCAGACGATGGACCCGCGCCGCTTGTGCCGGGACCCTAGAAGTGAAGTAAAAATTATTGTAATGTCCAGGTTTTTTTTTTATACACAACGAGGAAGCTCTTGGCCTGTATCTCACCTGATGGTAAGTGATGATCAGGCCGAAGGTGGAAGCGAGCTTCACCCGGAATCCTCAACCACGGAGGAACTGGCTATCTTACCTCTAACTGCCGGAACACAACNCCCGGCTGATTCTGTGCTATACCACCAAACTATGATCTGCGTGAAAGAGATAGGCAGATGTTTTTACCTCGTCACAAAGCGAGAAACACGCGTGTTGAGCTGTTGAGTTGCCCCCGCTGCCTCACAATACGTCAATACGACCAAGGCTGCTTTTGTGCTGTACCACCATATTATGATCTGTTTGAGAGAGATAGACAGATGTTTCTTACCTCATCACAGAGCGAAGAGCACGCGTGTTGAGCTGACGAGTTGCCCCCGCTGCCGCCATGTTTACCGCCACCCCCGGTGCCTCCCCACGCGACCAATGCTGATTTGTGCTGTACCACCATACTATGATCTGTGTGAGAGAGATAGGCAGATGTTTCTTACCTCATCACAGAGTGAAGAGCACGCGTGTTGAGCTGACGAGTTGCCCCCGCTGCCTCCCAATACGATCAGAGCTGCTTTTGTGCTGTACCACCAAACTATGATCTGTGTGAGAGAGATAGGCAGATGTTTCTTACCTCGTCACAGAGCGAAGAGCACGCGTGTTGAGCTGATGAGTTACCACGGCTGCCTCCGGCTGTTTTTGTACTGTACCACCATAAGATGTGTGAGAGAGATAGGCTGATGTTTCTTACCTCGTCACAGAGCGAAGAGCACGCGTGTTGAGCTGACGAGTTACCCCCGCTGCTTCCCAATACGATCAGAGCTGCTTTTGTGCTGTACCACCAAACTATGATCTGTGTGAGAGAGATAGGCAGATGTTTCTTACCTCGTCACAGAGCGAAGAGCACGCGTGTTGAGCTGACGAGTTGCCCCCGCTGCCGCCATGTTTACCGCCGCCCCCGGTGCCTCCCCACGCGACCAATGCTGCTTTTGTGCTGTACCACCATACTATGATCTGTGTGAGAGGGGCATAGAGGCAAATATTTATTCAAATTCGTAATTAGTGTGTAGGCCTTTTTCAGGGCACTTACACACGTCGGAATCGGCTGATACTGAGAAATAGAGAGAGTTTAAACTTAAGTACTGGATGAGAGGCAAATATGAGTGGACANGCTGTTAACATTGTTGTTATGGCGACAGACTTAGGTAAGATGGTGGTAGCTAGCCAGGCGGACTTAGAACAAGCCCTACCACCAACCAAACCGAACAGAAAAATCTGCCCCCACTGGGAATCGAACCCGAGACCTCTGCGTCTGAAGCAGGTGGTCTTACCACTAGACCACAGAGGCGGTTAAAACTAAACTAAACTAAAAATGTCCAGGTATTTTTTTTTTTTTATGTAACAGGAGGCAAACGAGCAGACGGATCACCTGATGGTAAGTGATTACCGTCGCCCATAGACACCCGCAGACCCAGAGGCGTTACAGGTGCGTTGCCGGCATTTAAGGTGAAGATACGCTCTCCTCTTGAAAGCTTGCAGGTCGTATCCGTCCGGAAACACCGCAGACGACAGTCCATTCCACAGTTTGGTTGTACGGGCCAGGAAGTTTTTAGAGAAACGTACTGTTGTGGACTGCCAACCATCTAAGGTGTAATTTCCATAACTGCAGCTTCGGTGTAGTTAAGGTAACCAAGACAGGGTGACAAACTTGTAAATGATATCTATACCAGCCGGGCTACGATGCGCGCCGTGATAAAATTTGATCGATGATTTTAGAGGTCAAATGTGGATGCCAAATGGATCCATCGCGTAAAATCGATAAACGTCTTTCATGGCGCGCATCGTAGGCCTACATGTTATTTAGATTTCTTTTAATATTACGAAGACAAAAGAAACTGAAAGGTCGGGTTAGTTGACCATTTGTAACTCGAAGAATGGCAAGATCGATTTTAATCATCTCCGATTTGTTGGATTCGTGTCCGCCCGTAAATACAGGAAAAATTACGCTAGTAAAACCACAACATTAAAAAAATTCATCATCATCATTATCATTTCAGCCATAGGACGTCCACTGCTGAACATAGGCCTTCCCCAATGCTTCCCATGTTGATTGAATGGTAAAAAAAATTCCAAATAAATTACCATAGCACCGGAACCTTCGCCAACGACCGCTCTCCTGGCGGCCGCGGAATCGTAAAAGTAGATATTACACTCGTCGTCAGACACCGAGTCGTCGTTGGACACCCTTCGCTGGGCGTCGTCCGATGACACGGGCGGGGAACTTGATTCCTGAGAATCGGTGTCGCCGCCGCTTTGCTGCAGTATTTCTTCCTCGTTTTCGCAGAAACCTAGAACATGTTTTGCATTACTTCAAATCCACGGTATTTTGGATTAATCTTTCGCATTGTCTTTGTCTTATCTCGACAGTTACGAAATTAAATTTGGTCCAGTGACAGTTACATTAGCATTTGTAATCTTAAGTTTGTATAACCACAGAATAATAATAAGTACTTCGTACAGAAGATTTTCTTCGCGAAGGTTTTTAAAAAAATGTATGCTCAATGTCGTTAACAATATGGTGTAATTTAGCTTGTCTCAAGAGTCGAGCACCATTTTGTTGACAAACGTCAGTGATCGGTACTGCGCCGAAGACATAGGGCTGACTTCGGTAAAATGATGTGTGACGTGAGGTGCCAAACTGCGAAAAATGGCGGAGGAAATACATGAATAAGCATGAATTATATTTTGTGTTTCTAATATTATTCAGGCAGTTAAAAAATACAGTTGAGTATTAATTGCACCACCGTTTTTACATATGGTTTATTGTCTTTACAATGCAAATGGGTGAAGAATACGTGCGTACGTCAATACTCGCTCGTGATTGTCCTGTCGATTTGGTATCTCAGGAGGGGTAGTCGCGCGTGTTTTGTTTTCGATGCAAACTGGCGGAGATGAACAGGCCTGGTATAACATTGATAAAGATAGAGGAAAGGTAATGCTGTATTAATTTACCTTCAGATGAAACACTCGAATGATTTCCATCACTGGGTCCTGAATCGCGATTCGGTTCGCTTGGTCCTTCTCCAGAGCCACAAGGCTAAAAAAAAACATATTTTTTTTAAGTTTGTAGAAAGGTAAACCACCTATTTTGGAGTTTCCTAAGAAAATAAAACAAGAGACAGTTTAAAACTCTCATTATTTTCACCAAAAGATAAAATGTACCTCAGTAAAAGACTTTTTTTTCTGTTTTGCGTGACAGAAACCCAAATATTCTTGTCATGATCATTGATGATTTAGTAACTTACTTGACTTGAAGGCCCTGGAATGGCCAGGTCGACGTTGATTCTACTGTTCCTGTTTACCAGCGTGCGGTGTCCTTGCATCGATGGGTCAGGATTCGTGAGTCGGTAGCTCAGGGACATTTCATTGTTCAAAACTGCTTTTGAGGAGTTCACCTAAAATATATGTTAAAAGTAGGTAACAATAGATCTTAAATATCTAGCGATAATGTGCTTGTACAGCTGGATAATAATATTATACATCTATGTACTTTTAATAGAGAAAATACATTTAAAATGGTTATGCAAAATACCAATCAAGGAACATAGTGAAAGTTAACCTATACACGTTTTACACCGCAAGTAATAAATAGACAATTAAATTTGACTGTATTATGTACTCTTTTTTGGGGCTTTTTAGAACTAGGTTACAAAAAAACATTGATTGATCCTTAATTAATAGTAAACAGAGTCTGTTTAACAATGACCATGAAACAAATAGACCGTATTATAAAATTTCTGTAAAAATACTGACCTGATGCGCATCATTTTGCTTATCCGAATGTCGAAAGATAGTGAAGGGGCTGTGATACAGAGGGTTCAAGTCTTTAGTGTAAGTCACTCCCGGGATCTGATAGTCGTCCCATTCCAGGAAGCAAGCTTCCATAGCGGGGTGGAATCCGGGAAACACTTCGTTCTCGCTGATTCCGTTGATGTATGGAGGATGGGAATGGGCGCGCGACGCGTGTCTCGTATGCGAAGAACTGCCCATGTGGTTGTTGCGGTTTTTCGCCACCTGTTTTGGAAAAGATACGTCACTAATCTACTAGTTCGTTGGTACTTTTACTAAGTTATTTTTTCGTACATGGCGTTTCGTGTAGTCTCGATATATTTCCATAGAAACAAAGCAAATACAAGTCAAGTTATTTTCTAGCTTCCGTTCCGTTCCGACAGGCGATACAGAACTTAATGTTAACAAACGAACGAACGTACTGTCGTATGAAACCATAAAAAAGATATGAGATAAACATAAAAACATTCCGCTCGTTTATCGAATCTACATCGCCAAACTCCGAGACACCATATAACTGCTTTGTCATCCTATTTTAGAATAAGAATAAGAATGTCTTTATTCACCATAATTATAATTTAAGGTATACAAGGCAAGAGTAAGTACATAAAAAAAACATAAAAACATAACAAACAATAAATAAAAACTTAATATGCTGAATAGGCGCCCGCTCAGCAAAAATCGCGACATGACACAAACGTCATACCGAGAAGCTGGTTTTCAGCGGGAATTTTCATGTTTCCATCGCAATCGTAATAATACATGAACATGAAAAATAAATAACTGCGTGTTGTTCTACTTAACTACAACTAAACTTTTATACATGTTCGTTAAAATTAAAGCAAAAGTTGACTTACTTTGTCGAGAACTTTCATGTGCCACTGCGTGAATTGCTCGTGTAAGGTGTCTCTCTCGTGCGGAGCCAGAGCCGGGTTCAGTGCAGCAAGACGCCATAACACGACCACCTGTATAATCAACATTTTATAATTTGCACCTGAACGAACGGTATTTATCACGAAATCGATAAACATTTCCTTTTTTCACTTTCATAAATGTTAATTATACTCAAAGCCAAATTGTCGACTGTATAGTGTTGAAGAAAGCAAAATAAATACCTCAACTGATACAAACTTGAAAAGTTAAGACCCTCTACTGGATCCAGTGATCCAGTCCGATATTTAAACTAGATATCCATTTTCTAATAGGTAAAAATTGGAAAATAATTGTGGATACGCAAACTGCTACTGTGAAAAAAGACTCGATGTTTGCGGCATTGCGTCGTGAAAAATAAAAGGCTGAAATTTGGGGTTAAAGAAAACTCAATGAAGTTTCTTACCTAATCACAAAGCGAAAAACACGCGTGTAGAGCTGAAAAGTTACCGCCGCTGCCCCCGGCTGCTTTTGTGCTGTACCACCAAACTATGATCTGCGTAAAAGAGATAGGCAGATGTTTCTTACCTCATCACAGAGCGAAGAACACGCGTGTTGAGCTGATGAGTTACCACGGCTGCCTCCGGCTGTTTTTGTGCTGTACCGCCATAAAATATGATCTGTTTGAGAGAGATAGGCAGATGTTTCTTACCTCGTCACACAGCGAAGAGCACGCGTGTTGAGCTGATGAGTTACCTTACCACCGCTGCCTCCGGCTGTTTTTGTGCTGTACCACCATATGATCTGCGGGAAAGAGATCGGCATGTGTTTCTTACCTCATCACAGAGCGAAGAACACGCGTCTTGAGCTGATGAGCTACCGCCGCTGCCCCCAGCTGCTTTAGTGCTATACCACCAAACTATGATCTGTTTGAGAGAGATAGGCAGATGTTTCTTACCTCATCACAGAGTGAAAAGCACGCGTGATGAGCTACCGCCGCTGCCCCCAGCTGCTTTTGTGCTGTACAACCATAAATTATGATCTGTTTGAGAGAGATAGGCAGATGTTTCTTACCTCATCACAGAGCGAAGAACACGCGTGTTGAGCTGACGAGTTGCCCCCGCTGAATCCCAATACGATCAGAGCTGCTTTTGTGCTGTACCACCAAATTATGATCTGTGTGAGAGAGATAGGCAGATGTTTCTTACCTCATCACAAAGAGAGGAACACGCGTCTTGAGCTGATGAGCTACCGCCGCTGCCCCCGGCTGCTTTTGTGCTGTACCACCAAACTATGATCTGTGTGAGAGAGATAGGCAGATGTTTCTTACCTCGTCACAGAGCGAAGAACACGCGTGTTGAGCCGATGAGTTGCCCCCGCTGTCCCCAGTGCCACCCCATGCGACCAGAGCTGTTTTTGTACTGTACCACCAAANTTTAATTTTTTTTCTATTAATGTTATATTATCAAAAACATTAAAAAATGATAAAATTCAATAAATCAGAAAAAGTCAAAAAGTTTCATGGACTTTCGTTGAAAAATAAAAAAGTTAGAGCTGATCAAACTCACGAGTGGGACAAAAATGGGACGGCGGCCTTTCTAGTGTTAAGAGATAGCATAAGTGGAATTATTTTCCCATTTAATGTATGACTAAGTTATTTTGGAGTGTGTTACTGCTTCTCCAAATTGCGTTGTTTTGTCGTCTCAAGCTGCTTTTGCTACAACCATAGGAGGCTAAGTTGATGTGAGCCTAAACTTTCTTATAAGAAAATAAATAGAAAACTACAAAAATAAGATAATGACGGCAAGACTCTTGCGTTCAGAGCGACGAAATCATAAATACAGAGGCAATACAATGTTTTAGTTACAATTATCAGACTTTGTATCTTACCTGTTCACACGCCATGACCTCCTCCGTGATTATCTCAAGTAGCGGTATTGCGTTCCTATCGTTCCTTCTGAACATTTCCCTGACGATGGACAGCAGATTCCACATGCCCTCGGGCTCGCGGCCTCGCAACGGTCTCAGTAACGATGACCATTCTGCCGCCGCGGGAGGCGCGCTTGTGCTTAGATAGTTCACATCGCTGAAAATGTATTTGATATGAAAAATATGAGAAAATAGTTATAACAAAGTATGAATGATGTTCTTAACAGATCACGATCATAAAATGTATTGGAAGGATAAAGGGCCCTTTCAAATAAGACTTTGTGAGCCGGCCGTTAGTCGTCTGTTTGTCGTGGACCGCGTAATGATAACTACATTGGAATAAGGATTATATTACAGTTACCGTTTGTGCTACTTTTAGCAATTTACAAACGCAATTCTTACGTCCTGGTCAAAACGTTAATTTGAAAGAGCCCTAAAGATACATAATAAAAAAAAGAAATAAAGAAGTTAAAGTTCAATAAATACTCAAAGAAACCTCACCTAAACACTATAGGGGCTGGAACACAGAACTTGACTAATATCTTATTAATATTGTTGTGCAAAGTCTTCTCATCCAAGAACCATGACGTGTACTCGTAGGCAGACGCCCCCGCTGTGGGATCAGGCGCTCCACACGTGGTGTTTATAGTGTTTGGTTGGGCGGACAGCAACTCGTCGAGGATACGCTGAGCCGTCGGCAGGACTTGCCGCGGCAACTCCGATATGAGGTATTGTGCGAATTTCTGCAACTGATCTCTTCGTAGTCTTTGCAATGATTCCGAAACTGGCGCTCTGAGGCATACTTGTGTTGGCTAGATGGAAAGAAACACAAAAAATCAGTTTAGCTAAATTATTTCTTACTTAATCAAAAACTACTCAGTACTCATATTAGTTATTACTCAAAACTATGCAATAGGTCATATGAATCACTGCATTAATAATACAATTTACCCGCACAGCATGATTTCAGGCTTCCTGTAAATTAATCACAATAAAATACATGAAAGATATTACTCACTATTCTCATGTACTAATGTACTTACTAAATGTATCCTGTACAAACAAACTGCAACTATGTGCGAACACCAATGTGCGGTCGATGAGCAGGTGCAATTACATGATGATATTCTTTGCCGGTCAAACGTCACTGCCACATTGAACTGAGCTCTAGGCACAGTGAGAATAACTGTTGCAGATAAGTGGAAACCTAAAAAGTAGTTATTTCTTAGAAGTTTCTGTACTTTTATCATAGAAACAAAAGAAGCAGCATTAAATTTGTTAATGGCACATTTGTTTGTGTATAAAATTAAATATACTGAAGTATTGAACACATACCAATTTGTAGGACATCTTTGACAGCTCTGTCCCTAAACAAATGTTCTCCTCTCTGAAACTCGTCTGCAGAACCATTCGCCAAGCAAGAGTATAACCGGATATCATCTTCGCTGTCGGGGAAACTCCAGAACGCAATTTGAAGTTGTAGTTGCTCGGGCACCGGTGGATAAACATGCTCTACCAGTTCAAACGGAATGTGACAGGCAACGCATTTGGCTGCTAATTCGCTGAGAGTGGATACTGATGATTTATCTGAAAACATTATTGCTATTGGTTGTCTTATTTTAACTTTGTTGACCTTAAAAATTCTCTATTAAAATTCAATTTTCTTTAATTAAATTTTCAATAATGCAGTATTTGTGAGTTGATTCTACAATAATTGACATTTTATTCAGGTATTTGAATGTACATAGTACATTAATTCTCAAGACTGTCCTAAACTTTGCATTAGAAAAAAACTTAACACTGTGAACTTCATAATATTATTGTATTAGAATAACTCACTACACATAATAATTGTAAAGATAAATAAGCACAACAATATTATAAATGAATAAATATTAAAATGTGTATTATTTAAGTTCAAATAATCAACTCAAAAGCTGATACAGTACTAACACATTCAAAAAACAAATCTACATACATTAAAGTTTAACCAAAATATAGTGAAAGTTGTGAAAGTTCAAAAGGATTGTTAACTTTCTCTATGTGAAAATGAATTAAAAATATCAACAATAACTTGTCCCAAGCAACAAAGAAAATGCTACAGCTATTGGCAGGGATTTGAAACCAAAGGTATTATTATTAACTGCTCAGTCCACTCAAAGGTAAATGACTTCACAGCACCTGTTCTTTGTACCACTACACAATACGTACAATGTACCTATAGGTCATGACATCAAACTTTCAACGAAAGTACAAGGCAAATGAGAGGATAGTTAGATATTATGAAAGAAAATCGGTTTATTTTTGTCTAAAGCATAACATTGCACACATAAAGACGTCGTAGACATTTCCACAGTTTGTAACAAAGGATCAGCTGAGAGTGTTACCTTGAACGGTTTTTTTCGTTGAGCGCGGGACAAATGTGTTCTGAAGGTTTGGTCTCCTCCACCCTCGCCAATTGTTGCACAGACTTTCAGGTTCCGAACTCCAGCTACACAAAGAATCTTCTTCGAAACGTTCTGAATCCTCGAAACTGAAATGGTCTCCCTCTTCCCAGTCGAGCAGTGGAGACCCCACGTCGACCGGGGCAGCTTGACGGCCCCCTTTTCCATTATTATTTGATGCCCCCGCCACTTTAATTAATTTATTCGAAATTTATATAATTAAAATTCGCTGGATAATTTCAGCGAATTACCACAGGGGGTTTTCACGATTATAAAATAAGCATAACTATGAAAGACATAAGTCGATTTATGTCGCTATAGAAATTATTTTAAATAAAAGATACAAGGAAATAAAATACATCACAAACTGGGAGTTGAAAATCAAACGAAATGTACTAAATAAATCCCCATTGAGCACAATAACAAATATGGCCGAACAACGTCCCGTCCGTCTGGTCATAGACGAAACCATTTATTTTTTTATTTTAAAAAAAGTTTTACCAAATATCATAGACTAAACAGGAAAAGAAAATGTTAAATAATATTAATAGATGGCGTTATTTACTAGTATAAGAATAGCATTCTTATAAAGGTGTGTCTACATCATAGGCAAAAATTAAAACTGATTAAAGGATAGTGCCAGGGTCTTGACCAAGTGTTGCCCAGAATCAACCCATAGTGCATTTTGTTCCTCAGGCCTAACTAATACTAATGTGAAAACCGAAGCGCACTGAAATCTATCTCTGGAGTTAAGAGAAAAAAAGAGTTTTGTTTTAAATTATTTACATACAAAATATCATCGATGTATACACGTATAGCCTGACCAGGAACATAAAAACCCTGGCATAGAGGCGCGTCAATTGCATTTGATAGTGCAACACTGAGTACAGTCGTACCTGTGTTAAATTAATAGGCTAACTTTATGTATCAGGATTCAGGATTACGGGTTAATTTGATATTTTCATAAATTAACGAAAAAATATTATTATAGGTAACCTGGTTTAAATAAAATAAATGAAACCATCAATCAAGCTAGTAGGATTTATTTTATTATTCATCAATAATCAAATTCAAAACTTGAATATTCAACCGCAATGTCTGCTCATGAACGCTTCAAACTCGGTACTTCTTTCCCAATTCCATAAAATTCAACACTTAGAAAGTGAAAAATTTTAAAAAAATTGGTAGTTTAAACAAACCACAGCTATTTTTCATAGTGGACTGTACTATACGATAAACATGTCAGTCAATTTGACAACCTTTGTCGGAAACATTATTCAATGAAAATATTGTCCGAACCCTTAGTATTTTTCTTCGACAAATACTTTAACACATTGTGAACCACTTTTCTTTCACGACTATAAAAAGATTTTAACAATTTAATTAACAAAATCAGTTGCGTACATTTAAAATAAAGTTTGTTTACACTTTGACAGCACTAGACTGACATGCAAGGTGACATGTCAATGAAGTTTTCAGTTACTGTTGCCATTAAAAGAAATTAGTACCATTAGTTTTCCGCAACATGGCGAGGGTTTTTATGTTCCTGGTCGGGCTATACTACGCATAACATAAGTAGGTTCACGATTGTAGCAATAAATAACACTCACTATGTTGAACTTAACCATATTGCATCCGTACACCTTACTTTAGTACGACTTCGACATTCTTTATAAGCGATCAAGCGCTGTTGCAGTAGTTTGGTTAGTTGACAGAAATGACCGAACCGATTTGTGAGATACGCCTGGAAACCCCAATAAATCAGCTACATATTAAGTAAAAATAATATTAAAAAAACATCCCATCTTCTGACGCAGTTTGGTAATAAGCTAAATGTATCAAAACATTTCAGTCCATCTCTTGTAACTCGATGAAATATGTTATCGATTAGCTAACTAATTTGGTATCAATTGATAATACCAAACAATACCAATATGGTACATCACTATTATTGACAGTGCTTGTCACTTGTCAGTCAGCCCAGCTGACAGATAAACGTGTTCCTTTTCAACTATTGTTGTAACAAATTTTGATAATTCTGTTAATTTCAAGCATTGCTTTTATAGTAAATTAGTTGAAATTGAACGTTTTTCTGAATAAACTACAAAATTAGCTGTCAAAGAACATTAATAGGAAGATTGTTCTCGACTTTTGCAAAATGTATTTGTATTATTTTAATTTAAAATGTCTTTGTTAAAATTGATGGTGTAGCGACTGTTTATTTAAAGATATATTTAAATTCTCATCTACCTCCGTTCATAATAGACTGGATCGTTTAGTGTAGAGGTTAGAGTTCTAGGTTGTAAAATTTAAAAGTCATTGACCAAGCAGTACACAAAAATGTTTTGTTGGGGTAATGCAACTCATCACGAATTGTGTATTGAAGGCCATGAAACTATTGATTTGGTAAGTTTCAAATTAAATACGGAATCGTACTTGAACGTCAATTGGCACTCCATCAATGGAATGTATTTAGATAATTACACAAATAATAGGTAACTGTATCCTTTTTATTATAATTGATAAAATTGCATAAACTAATGATAAGATCTGAATACTACAATATAGCCATTTTCCTGCTTACCTATCCTAGCCTTTGGTCTAATTGGGTTTTCTTATTAGATTTATTTTCGAAAGACTGCAATAATATTAATAAATTAGTTTTTATCTTGAAATATTTCATAACGTATCTATTGGTTTTCTCTATTTTGCACAACTCCTTGCTGCTTCCATTAACATTCTATTTTGTTTTTTTTTAATGTAAATAAATGATAAGAAACAGATGTACCCACATTTTACAAACATAGTCGTCAGTCATAATTTTACTTGTAAATTGGTTGTACAATACCTAGTATTAAATAGGAAGTTTACAATTCATTTTTTTTTTGTTTATCATCTGTTTCAGGTCATAAAACCAACTTTGTCAAAATGGAAAGAGAGCAATCACATTCGTCTGGTGGCAGCTGGGGAGTTCCATTCCCTTTACCTGACAAATCAGGGGCACCTCTACTCGTGCGGTAGCAATGAAGTGGGTCAGCTGGGCCGACACACAGATAGCAGAGAAGGGAAGTATCCAGGTAATAAGGTTTTATAGCTAGCCAATAAGTCTCCATTAATTTTAAATGTGCAACAGTAACTTACCAATTATAAATACCTAGCTATCACATTGTATTTTATAATTAGAAATCATATTCATAATTTTTTTTTCTATTTATTTGGCACAAAAACAGTCATTACAAATATCACTTCTAAACAAAAATAGTAACACTAAGAAAAAACACAACGAGTAACAATTTATAGGCTGGGTTGCACCATCTTATATTAATTAAGTATAACAAATATCAAAAGTCTGTCAAACTCCATACACAACACATTGGTTATGTTTATAGTTATGGTCAAAGTAAGGTGATGCAACTTAGGCTCACTTTAGTTTGGTTAAGCAGGGCAATCAAAACCAGACTGATTGAAGCCTCTTGATTAGGCCATTGATTATTTATAAAAACTCATAGAACTCATTTATTTCTGTAAATAGGCTTAAAAAAAGCACTTTTAATCTTAACAAAAGACTGTTTTTATTTGTTTTAGCTTCAGTGGAAAAGCTAAAGGAGTTTAAAATATCAGCTGTAGCCTGTGGCTTGCAACACTCGCTAGCCTTGAACGAGTGGGGCCAGCCATTCAGTTGGGGCTGCAACAGCATGGGGCAACTCGGGCTTGACCCCAAGAATGATTCACACTCCCATAACCTCCCAGCTATTGTGAGACCACTGGCTACAAAGAATGTGCTACAAATTGCTTGTGGTTCCTACCACTCAATAGCACTAACAAATAGTAAGTTATACAGTTATAACCAAAAACTAAAAAGTTTTAAACTTACTCAAATCTATCGAGTAAGTTGAAACTTTTTAGTTTGTGGTTATCATAAATTTAGCAATGCCATCTTCTTCATATCTGATGTCCATATCTTGTATTGATAAACATGTTACACCATAATTTACAACATTGTAGCATTGTATAAAGCAGCAAAAAAAACCAACTGAATTGAGAATCTACTCCCTTCTGAAAGTCGGTTACCTAAATATTTTGTGGCAAATTCTTGTAACTCTGATTTAAAACCTTCATACTTTTTCTTTTCTTATTTTTATTCCATGAAACTGGTCCTGCCATGATGTTGGGTTAAACCCGAAGTATAGTTTAAACTTTTTAGATGGTGACCTGTACGCTTGGGGGGCCAACTCTTACGGCCAGTGTGGCCTGGGCACCATGTCCAGTAAGGAATCCGTGCCTCTACCTATTACGTCGCTGCTTGGCGTGCCAATAGCTTTAATAGCTTGTGGCAGTAACCACACATTTGCCTTATCTAAGTAAGTATTTTTCATTTAGTGTATATTTTGACACAATATTTTGTTATTTTTGAATACTGCAAAATGTTTATTTATATCATGAAAAACTTGATAATATAGTGTGAAGTAAAAGGTACATTTAGAAAATAATCTTAACATACATATTAAACAATAATAAGCCCATTATAAACTACAATCTCTTGACATTTAATGTGAAATAAATCTAGAATGAAACATTGTTTTTATCAGCAGTAGGTATAACCAGTATAACCACATGTGGTTTTGTGTTGATAATATTCTTCAAGTTATTTATTCTAATAAAACATTGTATTTTACTATCTTTCAGGTCTGGTGCTGTATTTGGTTGGGGTAAAAACACACATGGACAATTGGGACTGCAACACAAAGATAACAGATGCTATCCTTCACACTTGAAATCTTTACGAGATGTAAAAGTATGTTAATCCAGGCCATATATTTGCCTGTACAATGGGCGCAACAAGTTAAACAATGTCGTGCGACGGCGCGTGACGTGGACAATGTTCGGTGTGGTTTACAGGATGATGAAATTCTTGCGCGTGGTTTTTTTTTACCGCTGAATACCAGTGGTTGTGACACGCTCTCTGACGTCACGGCTTATACTGAGCAGATGCCACTTTGGTGCTTGTACTCTGTTGCAGCCTTTAAGCTGTTACATATTTGTAAATGCTTTAAATACTTTCATCAAATAAATACTTTTCTTTCTATTTTAAAAGTCATTCACTGGACTGGACATTCATGGCCTTTCTGTTGGTGAAAATAATAGGTTTCTCATTATTTTATTTGATCTAAAGTTTAAACACGTTGCACGATATTGACAACTTGTTGCGCATCATTTTTGATGCATGGAAGGATGTCGCATTATTTAATTATCAATGAAACAAATCCCATTTATCTTACCTAGATTACTTAAAAAACGTTTTTAATATGTCTTCATTAACTGCTTATTTGTAATTTTATGATATTGGTCAATAGTTTCTCGCAATAACTTGCGATTAATTTTGAGCCTTGTCATAAGAAGAACAGGTTCAAAATCTATTTTTGTATCAATAATGTACTTTATAGGTATGTCACATTGCCTGCGGGGAAGACTTCACGGCCTTCCTAACGTTGGACGGCGGTGTGTTCACTTGTGGGAACGGCGAGTATGGCCAGACTGGCCACGGAACCACGCGAGATGAACTTTTTCCTAGAAAGGTAATGAAGGATGTTTTCTGTGATAATTATACTTTATTTGTATAGTAGTAAGGCAGGACCGGTCTTTGTGGAAATCCTTGGGGGAGGCCTTTGTCCAGCAGTGGACGTCTTTCGGCTGAAACGAACGAACGAACGAAGGCACGTCATTATCATCATCATCATTTCAGCCACAGGACGTCCACTGCTGAACATAGGCCTCCCCCAATGACTTCCACATCGCACGGTTGGTAGCGGAAGGCACGTATTGATTATCAAATAAACTATTATGTAACATGTTTATAAAGAAGCAAAAACATTAATTTCTTCGAGAAAAAATCGCGATAATGTCTGTACATACCCTTTGGTTTGGAACGGAAAGTTTTCTAAATGAATTCAAATTCTTATGACGTGATGTTTTCGTAAATATTGAGATACAATCTCATTATATTCATTTATTTAAATAGAACCTGAGTCACTAAGACCTAGACAGTATTTAGCGCGAATGGTTATTTCCTAGAGAACAAAGATTTCAATTTATGTACCTGAATTCTATTACAATGTAACTGTAAATAAATTATGTATCTAATATGAATTTCAAAAACTATATCTTCCTATAACTTTCTATGGGTACAACAATAGGGATAACACTTACATAAAGTGTGAGTTAGCGCGCGATGTCTATCGATTGTTTGTAAAACTAATAACAAAGTCATGCCATGTCGCTCATGCCATATCAAAGGTCTTTATAGATTGTTTCATCCACGAAGACGTGCCCCACCAATTTTTGGTCGAGGGAAGCGCGGGATGCGGGGAGTTTGATCCGAGCAATCTAAGCGTCATTATTGTAGTGTGCGTGCACACTCATGGATAAATTAGCGTGTACCAATAATACTCAAACATTAGCGGTAGAATTGTGGGGCGCGTCTTAGTGGATGAAACGATCTATTATAGCATTAGTACATACTGTTAGGACTCACTTGCTTGATGAACCAATGACATCAAGTTAAAGCATTGGCTGGATGAAGAAAGCAGGAGATCGTGCTATGTTGCGTTTCTTGGCTTACTGTCAGCAGCTTTCTTTATGGCGTTCTAGGATGGAGCTATGTCTAGCAATGCACTGTTATTCCATAATAATGATACAGTTTTATTAAAAAAAAAACTCATTAAAAAACATTTATTTCTGTAAATAGGCTTAAAAAAGCACTTTTACACTTTTATCCTTAGGTTATGGAGCTAATGGGCAGCACAGTGACCCAAGTGGCATGCGGCAGACGTCATCTGCTATGCCGTGTGGGAGAACGCATCTTGGCCTGTGGATACGGCGCCCGAGGACAGCTGGGTTGCCCACACATGGCCCTAGCGCTGGTTCCGACGCCGGTAGCCTTTACGCCGAGCGAGGAGTCACCAGTTAGTACTGTTTGAACGGTGTGTGGTTGTAGTTAGTTTCACAGGTGGTGCAACGAATCGGCTGGTATGTGAGTATGGATATCTATAAGCCAAGAAACAATTAACAATTGAAAGTTAACACTTAACAATAAATCAGCTATAATTCTTTTATGGATGGAACATCACCATATAAAAACCTTATAGCCTGACCAGGAACATAAAAACCCTCGCCATGTTGCGGAAAACTAATGGTACTAATTTCTTTTAATGGCAACAGTAACTGAAAACTTCATTGACATGTCACCTTGCATGTCAGTCTATTGCTGTCAAAGTGTAAACAAACTTGATTTTAAATGTGCGCAATTGATTTTGTGAATTAAATTGCTAAAATCTTTTTATAGTCATGAAAGAAAAGTGGTTCACAATGTGTTAAAGTATTTTTCGAAGAGAAATACTAAGGGTTCGGACAATATTTTCATTGAATAATGTTTTCGACAAAGGTTGTCAAATTGACTGACATGTTTATCGTATAGTACAGTCCACTATGAAAATTAGCTGTGGTTTGTTTCAACTACCTATTTTAAAGTTTTTTGTCACTTTGTAAGTATTGAATTTTATGGAATTGGGAAAGAAGTACCGAGTTTGAAGCGTTCATGAGCAGACATTGCAGTTGAATATTCAAGTTCTGAATTTGGTTATTGATGAATAATAAAATAAATCCTACTAACTCGATTGATGGTTTCATTTAATTTATTTAAACCAGGTTACCTATAATAATATTTTTTCGTTAATTTATGAAAATATCAAATTAGCCCGAATCCTGATACTAATAATTTAACACAGGTACGACTGTACTCAGTGTTGCACTATCAAATGCAATTGACGCGCCTCTATGCCAGGGTTTTTATGTTCCTGGTCAGGCTATACGTGTGTATAGCCTGAAAATGAAAATTGAAGTAAATAAAGTTGTCAGTGTTGACAACTTTATTTACTTCAATTTTCATTTTTCAAGTCATCATCTTATTCAATTATAAATAGGTGCAATTGTGCAACAAAAAAGTTTAATATAATGTGCTGTTTTCTACTCCTATTGTTCGCCATATTCTGTCAACGTTAGCATCGTATCAGAAACAGCTTAGCATAATTAGTATTGGCCAATAAATAATGTTGGTCAATGTACTTTATGTTGAAATAGAATGAGATTTATTAACACTATTTTTCTAAAAACCTTTCCGTCATTATCTTTCGTATTGTATACAAATCGATCTTTTTATTAACATAAATAAATTTTTCATGCAGACTGAAAATCCAGGCCACAGTAAGGTGAATACATTTGACTTGGTAAATTGCTTTTTACAGTAGATATAGTTTTTTGCTTAGTTGTGCAAGTTTATTTTTACTACAGTAGTAGTACTTACACGATGCTCATGTGTTTTTTTTTACATTTTTGTTTACATTATTGTTTGTATGTACAGTCGCAGAATGAAAAGGTTCGTCACCTTAGTGTCGGTTTTCGCTTGCACTAGGTACTGTAAGAGTCAAACCTGCCAACATAACAGTGCAAGAAACAGTGCTGCTAACATTAAAATAAATATGACGTTTGCTAACGAATAAGGTTTTGCTTGTTTATTTTTCTATCCCATCAGTGCAATGCAATGATGACATTCACCAATTGACAATATTTTTTTTTATTTAATAGAAATAATAATGGCAGGTTGAACCAACAAGAAGGTTTTAGTTTATCAATCATAAATATCTTCTTGACAAGATAAATCGTCAAACAACTTTGATCTGAATAATTTTGAACTTTACTGACGAACAGTTAAAGATTATTTTCTCTAAGTCGAGATTATTCTGTAACATAGTTTCAAAAGGTAATATGTGCTCGCGATTCGTTGAAGGAATCAATTTGAAAACTGACGAACCTTTTCATTCCGTGACTGTACATCATATAGAATAGATGTGATAACAGATGTAGATATAGAATTTCTTAAAAATAAATAAATTATGATAATGAACTAGATCTATCGATAGAGATAGTCGTTTTAATATTAGGTCCTGTAAATGTAATCAAAATACAGGGATTTCATTTTACCATTCATGACGATTGAACACCCTGTTAATAATGATAATTTATTGTAGAATTTAGTTATATTAATATAATAACAAATATTAATGAGCCCTTGTCTGTTGATTATCCTAATAAATTGGACATCGCCTTGGAAATAATTCCAATTTGATCACCTACATGATTTGTTTGCATCATACATAATAAGTTTTAATAAAACCTCTCAGTTTTCATTCTAGATTAAGTTTTTACGTCATTCGGAGTAATGACAGCAGTTTTGTCCTCTCTCAGCCAAAGAAGAAAACGAAGGTCGAGATCGCCACGGCACTTCGCCACGAGGCGGGCTCGTCTAAACGAAATGTTGAGTCACACTATATTCAACCTTATTACTATGACAAGAGACACTATTTCATTTTGTTAACGCTCTCCAGTAGTGGTCATATTCGTTAGATGTAGCGTAGTGTTGTTTGTAAATACATCTTGATTTTTGTTGTATGTTTTTGTTGTTATAGTTTTATCACAATTGCTTTTTCTTTTTGATCTAATAGTTCTTAATTCGAATAGTTAAAAGTATGTATGTTTTTTCTATTGTGTCAATTTGGACGTTAATTTCTGGGGATATAACATTTCACTCTTGACTGAGATTTATGTGTAAAAATTACTGAGACTCAAAATTTCTTGGGTTCGATTCCCAGCACAAATAGTGGTCAAATCTCAAATTACCTTAATTCTTAATTTACTATTTTGAAACTTCTATCTTTCAATTAACTGTAATCTCTCGACAATTTATCTACTAGCGCCTTTTTCATAAAGGACGAAGCACACTTATCAACCTGGAAACGGATCGTAACCGTATCAACTCGTAGCGGTCAGTATTCTGTGTATGAAAGTCCGTACTGCAACGCACACATCCGTAACGTAAACGCCTCGCCTCGCGGTTGACAGGCGATACGGTGTTGATCCCTTTCCGGGTTGATAAGTGTGCTATGACTTTAAATGCATGACCCATATAAACCTTCTTACACACTGACAACATTATTTAATGTAATTTTCATTTTTTTCCAGTTTTCTCCGGACATCTTCAGCGGGCCAATCAAAGTTTTCGCAGGCGGTGACCACAGCTTCTTAGTTCTGAACTGCGACAGGATATCAGCTGACTACCGAGTGCCGGACCATTCAAAACAGATACTGACCCTGAGCATGTCCAAACTGACAGCTTGCGAGGTGTTCAAGGATGATGATGTTGTGAATCAGGTAAGTGAGTATCCATCAGCAAGCCCTAAAAAGGTTCATAGGAAAAGTATCCAGATTGTTTCATAATTCTATAGTTAAATATTAATAAACATTATTTCTTTCGGATATTGTTTTGTTAAAACATGCTAAAACTGCCCGGCACATTATTATGTGGCAGCGTTTACAATAGCTTCCCGAGCGCTATATAATTATCAAATTTTTCGACGCAGTAGCCGAGTTATTATTACTACACCAAATCGTCATTATTTATAAATAAAAGAATCTGTTGTGTCTTCAGTTATCTTACGAGTATCGCTGATATTTATTGTGATGCGAATATGTATTTATTATCAGCATATTAAGGTCAAGGCTGCATCGCTGTGTGTTGTTGTGATAACAAAATGCAAAGTCGCATTTCAAATAATAAACTACTTTGCATCTTATTTTTAACTTTGCTGAATGAAAATATTTTTCTATTCATTTTATTTTTCACATCCATTGACGTTTGTTGGGCGATATTGAATCACAAACACATTAACGGTGGTTTAAGTCTCCGCCTTTTTTTTTAATTTTCTACGAAATTATGACATAATTTTAAAATGTGACATCATGTTTCTAAACCAGCGGCTTCATACGGCCGGAACGCTCTGTAAAAAACTGCCAGTCGGACCTTACTATATATTTATACCAGTTTGACCAGTTCAAATCGGTCTCAAACTGGTCGCGTCATGTGTGGTCTCTCAACGGACGCTATGGCAGAAACTTAGATGCAACTCAAAAGTAACTAGAAGTTGCAGTATCGTTCCAGTTGCCTTTCACCATGTGTTCTGGGCCTAAGGCACAAAATCAAGCTAATTTCATTTTATGTCACATAATATGAACATGTTCTTTGGGTCATCGTTCCACCTGAATAATTGCAAATGTACTACAACATACTTATAACTAACCACACAAATACTTATTACAGTAGAACGCCGATTATCCGAATTAATTGGGACCGGGGTCGATTCGGATAATCGAAAATTCGGATAATCGGACATAGACTGTTAATAAAGAAAAAGCGTGTTAAAAACGAACTGTCACACATAGAATAAACTTTAATAACTGTGTTTATAGTTCTACAATAACGTTCAGTTGAAATATATCTAGACTCCTGCGAGTTCCAACTTGTTACAATAAAACAAAATAAAAATTACTTGGTTTTAACCCTTAACACCACTTGGTATTTTCAGCTTACACATCTACACTCGTGGGGGACCTAAGTCCCCACTATTTGTATTCAATATTTAAGTAATTTAGTATGAAATATCTTAGGATAATTTTTCATAAAATAAACAAGAAACATATATTTAAGTGAAAAAACAGGTTTAATCGTATTTTAAACATAAAACAATATTATTTCTAGCTACAAACAAAAAAGTTACCAAAAAACTAGTTTCATTTATAGTGTTTTCTTCACAGCCCCAAATAATATTGAAAATTAGAATATCAAAACAAAAAAAAACGTTTTTCTAATAAACCAATATACTTATGAACAAAAACAAACACAAACTTTTCAATAAGTTTAAGAACTTGAAAAATCACAATAGGAATAGTTGGCCCATATTTTTTTATCTTATTCTAAAAATGTCTTAGCAGTCTCAATAATAATTAGTCTCAACATTATGATTATAATCTAAAATAAACGCATTGCTGACATTTGGTATATATTTTCACATCAATATGACAGACATTTTTCATACATTTGGAGCAAACTCTGGGAGTATTGATATCTTTACTTCGTGGGCACATGACACCTAGATTTCTTTCTTTTTTTTATTTTGACTAGGTCCTTGTGTTGGTAGATCTTCAGGTAAGTCAACACATCTGCTGGGGATTCAAATCTTTAGCCATATTGCAGCAAAACCAATGAAAAATACAAATTTATAAAAAATCTAATATGGAAAAATACCTACATAACTACACTCGTGGGGGACTTAGGTCCCGCAAAGGCATGTACCTCACAAACCACAAACGTGAACAGCGCACACGTCCGTCCCCTGCTAGCTCTCGGGCATCACTGGGAATACACCGGACCGCAACCGCGTCGCATTTTAAATAATTATTTTATTTGCAAAAAAGTAGGCGGTGGGGGAGCTAGGTCCCCCACGAGTGGTGTTAAGGGTTAATTTTTTATATTACGCTTAGGAACGATTCGGATAATTGGCGATTCGGTTAATCGGCGTTCGGATAATCGGTTCGGTTCTACTGTATATCTTTTCTACCACAGGACCTGCTAGCCTACCTTGAGACAGTATTCGGGTCAATAGCGTGCGTGAACGCATCGTTTCTGTTGCCACATAACGCGCACTTCGGATGCAACACCAAGACGCCAGGTGTCGACCTTAAAAGTGCGGAGGAGGCGTTCGCACTCATCAGCAGGCTGGAAAACACTTCTATAAAGGAACTGGTGAGAGTATAAAATATGTAGATCCTTTTAATAAATAAATAAAGGTCGGCCATTGTGATAGTACACCATGCATGAATACATAAATATTTAGCTTACCACGAGGGGATAGCGGGATTATTATTAATTTTTATTTACAAATTGCTAATCTACTATATAAAAATAAGTCGGGTTTTCCTTCCTGCCGCTATAACTCCAGAACGCACGAACCGATTTCCACGGTTTTGCATTCGTTGGAAAGGTCTCGGGCTCCGTGAGGTTTATAGCAAAGAAAATTCAGGAAAAGGATGATGGGCAACAATGTATGGAAAGTGGTACCCGCTCCAATAGCCATAACCAATATGTATTTCAAAAGGCCTTTAGATGTAGGAAAATGTCTGCTATGGGGCCAGTTCTAATTCACGTTTTGAAAGCAGAAATTCCACTAAGTATTATAATGAAAGTATAACACAATCATCCATGTATATGAGTATGTATTATGACTGCAATCTATTAATATAACTAAAAGAAGCATTGAAAAGGAAAGGATTATACCTACGATGAACTATCCAAGCTATTAGCCCTTTATTCGCTTTCATCATCATCATCATGATCATTTTAGCCATAGAACGTCCAGTTGAACATAGGCCTCCTCCAATGATTTCCACAATGGCCGGTTGGTGGCGGCCTGCATCTAGCGCCTTCCCGCTACCTTTATGAGGTCGTCGGTCTATCTTGTGGGTGGACTTATTGGGTCTTGTGGATTTATTCGCTTTAGCAACCCATAACAAAACCCTTAAGAAGTAATAAAACTCCCACCTCTTTATTAATAAAAGTTACACCCTAGTTGAACTCTGGCTTAAATTGTCATTTGGTATGGAAATGTCATTTTAATCCAAGGTTCATCCTAGGTATAACCTTTTATTAATAAGGGGGTAGTAGTTCTTCAAATAAAAACATTTATTTCACAATTATCCCTATCAATAATTATAGAGTTAAGGAAGGATGCTGGAGCAGTAAACCCTTCATGCCTCGCATAACGTAAGAACCATACTTACGATGGGCACGTATGATACTTCGGTTACACAAAAAATATGTTTCTCTTCGAACGCAACCAGATCTGAAGCTGGTGGCCATAGTAAATGTTGTTCGTCTAAGTAAGACCTTTCAAATGACACTAAAAACATAACATGGCTAGCTACCACCATCTTACCTAAGTCTGACGCCATAACAACAATGTTAACAGCATTATTGTGTTCCGGCAGTTAGAGGTAAGATAGCCAGTTCCTCCGTGGTTGAGGATTCCGGGTGAAGCTCGCTTCCACCTTCAGCCTGATCGTCACTTACCATCAGGTGAGATACAGGCCAAGAGCTTCCTCGTTGTGGATAAAAAAAAAAAAAAAAAAAACTATTGAAGCCGGGTACCATTTTGCAAAAAAGTATATTTATCTTCGAACACAACCAGATCTGAGGCTGGTGGCCATAGTAAAAGTTGTTCGTCTTGGTAAGACCTTTCAAACGACACTAGAAGCATATCTATTGGAGCCGGGTACCATTTTGCCCATTGTCCTTTAACAAACGAAATTCCACGCGGGCGAAGCCGCGGGGGGAAAGCTAGTATTATTTTAAAAAAGCAATCTAATACATGCCCCTTCTGCTCAATTGGGTTTCTAAAAATGTATCATTTTGTGTGTTATAGAATTAGTATACGAAGCTTTTTACTCTTTTTTTAAAATCAGATCTTCAGTCACCTAGCCGAGGACGTAATAAAGAAAATGAAGGCTTCCCCGCCTGATGCGGAGGCGTTAAGGTTATTCCTCACGCTGCCTTTGTACCACGAAATGCGGAACCCTCGGCGACATCCAGAACTACAGGTAAAAACTCAAATTGACTGTATCTAGCTCTTTCACACATCAGGCCTGTTCATCTCCGCGAGTTTACATCGAAAACAAAACACGCACGATGGCCCACCTACAGGATACTATTCGACAAGGCCTCACATACGAGCGAACATTGACTCACGCACGCGTATTCTTATGTATGATGGAAGAAAATAAAGAAAATGGTGTACTCAGTACTGTGCAGTATTTAACTGCCTAAATAATAATAAAAACACAGAATGTACTTTTTTAAGTTGCCTCAAGACACTGAGAGGTAAATAAGTAGTTAATATTATTCATGATAATTCATGGTAAATCATGTATATCCTCCGCCATTTTCCGCAGTTTGGCACCTCACGTCACATCATTTTACCGAAGTCAGCCCTATAGCTCCGGCGCAGTGCCCATCACTGACGTTTGTCAACAAAATGGTGCTTGACTCTTGAGACAGGCTAAGTTACCCCATATTGTTAATGACTTTGAGCATAATTTTTTTTAAATACCTTCGCGAAGTAAAACTTCTGTACGTAGTACTTATTATTATTCTGTGCTATTATTACCAGATGTGAGACAGAGATGAATACAGCCAATGAATTCTTGACATTTTGACTAAACATTCAACTTATTTTCCGATATGTTTGTATTTTAACTATGTGATATATTTTAGGGACCATTCGCAGAAGCATATAACAATCTATCCGTGCATCCCCAAAGGATAGTCAACATGTGGTGGGAGTCTCAATCTGCGGAATACTTCGAGATGCTGGTAGATATATTCAAGAGTGTTATTGTTTATGAGTTGATGCAGCCAGTGGTCCGAGCCAATAAGGTAACTATAGCGATTTTGGTATAATATTTCTTTTGTAGTCATGTTGTAATTCCACCAACCAAAGATGTATTACGAGGCTCATTGGTGTAATTATTTGAATCAAGACTTACGTTAGGAAGCTGGAAGAAAAAAGCCTTGGTTCCAAGATCTCACTAGAGCGATGCCATATTACACCCCTCTTAGTTACGAATAATAGTTTTGGTGGTTAAGCAACATAACATTATTTTCAAAATAGCACTTTATTTTTCAGAAAATATATTTCACACACAGCATAGTCCAAATTCTAAACACGCTGTCGTCACTGAACAAAACAAACTTTATGAATCCCAAGAAGCCTAAGATACCAGCAGAGTGTTTTTACATCGACGAGCTATGTAGCTATGTGGACATAGCGACAGACTACATCAACTGGCTATCCGACCATAGTGTAAGTAGCTAATGTCAGATTATGTTATATGAATCTAGTTGTAGGTCGCGCAGCGAAAGTTGAGGCGAACACGGTACTCAAACTGATGGAATATTTGAATACACAAAATTCGCACAATACATCACACATAGAAGTTCAAATATCTAATATACTAGCTGCCTCGCTCTTGTTGCTAATGTGTGCAAGCGAGACACAAAGTATTTGTCAGTCAGACTACGCAAAGTGACTGCGCGGCGAGCGTATACAGATACAAATCTTGCTTGTGTTGATCGCCTCAACTCTCACTGCGCGAACTATATCTATTAAATAACTTACAGGAATCTTGTAAGTTAGAACTTACTAGCTAGAGCTAAAGTTGACTGTTTAGTATGTAATGGGAAATGGTGGTGTAGTGATGGAATTAGATTGTGGTGTGATTGAAATGTGTTATATTTATCATGACGATTAAATCAAGACCTTTCTCTCCAGTCAACGCAGCCGCATATGTGCAACTATCCCTTCCTCTTCGACGTCCAATGCAAGTCTTTGCTGTTGAAAATAGACCAGCAGTTGCAAATGCAAGTGGCTATAAGCAGGGCTGCTACACAAATATTCACGCGGTTATTCACCGACCCCACTTATGATTACCATCAAGGAGACCAGTTTTTGAACCTGACTGTGTCAAGAAATCACATAGTGAGGGATACGATGTTGCAAATCAGCAACCACGATACGTCGCAGTTGAAGAAACCGCTAAAAGTAAGTTGATTTTTTGTTACATTTCATTTAGACTTTGGACGTGATGAATAATTGCGAGGTTTGTTTTTGCAAATGGAATTGAACTACTGGTGCATTTCAAGATTTTTAATTTTATGGCGTATGATGAAGCTATGACGCTTTTATGTCACTCAAACCTCTCGAAGTTCTGCTTTCGAATGCTCCCGCGTCTATTTGCCTTGATATTTTGAATTCTCACTGATGTGAAGTACATAACTAGATTTAAAATGAAAATAAAATCTTAGTAATTAAGTGGACACTGCTCTCGTTACTTGTATATTAAAACTAATATTATCTTCAGGTAGAATTCGTAGGCGAAGAGGCAGAAGACGCCGGTGGTGTCAGAAAAGAATTCTTCATATTATTATTGAAGGAAATATTCGATCCAGTGTACGGCATGTTCAAGCAGTCGGAGGAAACCAACATGATCTGGTTCTCGAACAACCCATTTGAAGAAGACATCATGTATTATTTGATTGGTGAGTGTGACTTCTCTTATGTAGTTCTTATATTGTACAGTCGCGGAATGAAAAGGTTCGTCACCTTAGTGTCGGTTTTCGCTTGCACTAGGTACTGTAAGAGTCAAACATGCCAACATAACAGTGCAAGAAACAGTGCTGCTAACATTTAAATAAATATGACGTTTGCTAACGAATAAGGTTTTGCTTGTTTAATTTTCTATCCCATGCAATGTTACAAAATGTAGTTTTTTATTTATTTAATAGAAATAATAATGGCAGGTTGAACCAACAAGAAGGTTTTAGTTTATCAATCATAAAAATCTTGACAAGATCAATCGTCAAACAACTTAGATCAGAATAATTTTGAACTTTACTGACGAACAGTTAAAGATTATTTTCTCTAACTCGAGATTATTCTGTAACATAGTTTCAAAAGGTAATATGTGCTCGCGATTCGTTGAAGGAATCAATTTAAAAACTGACGAACCTTTTCATTCCGTGACTGTACAACAAAACGTGTAGTACAATGAGCTCTCGACTGTACACTTTTTTGCTGTAAAATTTTAATCAAATTATTAAACTTTCTCTTCTCACTTCATTTCACCCAAAGTTGATGAACATAAAATTGCTATGCGAATTAGGGCTGATTTTACCATCGTCGGATAACTTTTAACTGAAGAATAAACTTGTCTATTTGACATATTTCCCATACTGAATTTGTCAATGTGCCAAACTGAGGCTGATCCTTAGACAATGAAAATATGATTTTTGTGTGATTGAAGTGTAGTTTTGTAAAATGTGTTCCTGTATTAAATTTAGTTTTTAATCCTATCTCTAAACCAGCCTTTTCACTTTCTAGGTGCTATATACGGTTTAGCGATATACAATTCGATAATCATCTATGTTCCCTTCCCGTTGGTCCTATACAAGAAGTTGCTGGGCGAGTCTATCATGTTGGATGACCTCTCTGATCTGTACCCGACGCTTGCTAACAGCTTGAAAAGCTTATTGGAATACCCAGACGAGGACGTGGAAGATGTAAGTGTATTGGTATTATATCGTCATCACTATAGTCAGTTGTATCGTTGTTGGAAGTAAGCCTTCGCCAAGGAGCACCAAAGAGCGAGATCTTTCATCTTTAACGAATATCATAAAATACTGTAAGATTAGAGAAGAAGATAGTAAGAAAAGTGTCTCGGTCTAGACTTTGTATTTCTGCCTGTATTTCTGCAACATGGTTTATGACATATCATAAACCATGTTGTCTAGTTTTCGGGCAATGATTCAGATAGGATTCAAAAAGTTTTCATGCCAAGATAGCTGATTAAAATACAGCTACTTTTCGCTAGGGGACTAACAAAATATTCGAGTATTGCATTTAATTTCCTATACTTATTAGCTTTTCATCCAGCTTAACTAGCTCGTATCAAAATGACACACTACTATAAGATAAAAAGTCCTTGATTCATACTTTCATAGCCTGATATATCGTGTGTCTGCCTTCCAGCGTAGAAATGTTGGCTGATAATGTCCAGTTTAGCCAATTTGTTTTTTATCTACTATATAAAAATAAGTCGGGTTTTTCTTCCTGACGCTATAACTCCAGAACGCACGAACCGATTTCCACGGTTTTGCATTCGTTGGAAAGGTCTCGGGCTCCGTGAGGTTTATAGCAAAGAAAATTCAGGAAAAGGATAGTGCCAGGGTCTGGACCAAGTGCTGCCCAGAATCAACCCATAGTGCATTTTGTTCCTCAGGCCAATACTAATGTGTAAACCGAAGCGCACTGAAATCTATCCCTGGAGTTAAGAGAAAAAAATGAGTTTGTTTTGAATTATTTACATACAAAATATCATCGATATATACGTACTACGCATAAGATTTCGTGATTTTGGCATTAAATAACACTCGCTATGTTAAACTTAACCATACTGCATCCGTACACCTTACTTTAGTGCGACTTAGACATTCTTTATAAGCGATCTAACGCTGTTGCAATAGTTTGGTTAGTTGACAGAAATCATTATTTCCAAAATGAAGCAAGAAGTTTTAGTTCTCTATCCTTGCGAAAAATCAATTTATTGGTGTATTACAATCGATTATTGAAGTTATTGTAAGCTAAAACTTTTTGCTCCATTTTGGAAATAATTAATTTCGGTCAACTAACTAAACTACTGAAACAGCGCTTGATCGCATATAAATAATGTCGAAGTCGTACTAAAGTAAGGTGTATGGATGCAGTATGGTTAAGTTCAACATAGCGAGTGTTATTTAATGCCATAATCGCGAAATATTATGCGTAGTACGTATACATCGATGATATTTTGTATGTAAATAATTCAAAACAAAACTCTTTTTTTCTCTTAACTCCAGGGACAGATTTCAGTGCGCTTCGGTTTACAAATTAGTATTGGCCTGAGGAACAAAATGCACTATGGTTTCATTCTGGGCAGCACTTGGTCCAACTTCCATACATGGATTGGCACTGTCCTTTCACGAACGAAATTCCACGCGGGGAAGCCGCGGGCGGAAAGCTAGTTTAATCTAAATTTTTCTTTAAAGTTGATATTTTCCAGGTATTCAGCCTCTGCTTTGCCGTCAACACAGAAGTATTCGATCAGATACAAGTGCACCCGTTGAAGGAAGACGGCGAGAACGTGCCGGTCACGCACGAGAACAAACAGGAATATGTCGACTTATACGTCGACTTTTTGCTCAACAAATCTGTCGAGACTCAGTTCAAGGCTTTCAATCAAGGGTTCCAAAAGGTAATAGTTTTTTATGGTAGTGTTCTAGTTTTTTTTAATGCATAACACGGCAGTTATTTGACCACAATCGCACCTGATGTTAAGTGGGATCCAGTCTAGGATGTCAGTTAGTCAATTGAAATATCTTTTATGAGCTGTCAAAATTGATTCCCGTATATTTTGTATGGCATTAGAGAGTGAGGACTATGACGTCATCAGATTGCGAACTCAATGAGGACTACCGCGGACTACTAATAGCGGTCCCCAGTTAGCGCCACCGCAATGTAAAGATCCTATCACTTGCTGTTCATAAGAAGTAGCGCCAACTGGTGAGCTCGGAAGTGGAAGAACTATCACATTTGCACTCACCAGGATGGCACCACTGTAGAGTAAGGTACTGCAACTCGCCAGTGGTGCCAACTTTAAGTATAAAAACGATAGCCCTCACTAACTATCCATTGCTTTCGAAGATGCATAAAATCGAATTTGACAACCATTGAAATAAGAAATGTAGGAAAACGCAGCGTGGTACGTCCACCCATAAGGTTGACTGACAACTTGATATAGGTAGGAGCGCTGGATGCAGGCCGCTACCAACCGTGCGATGTGGAAGTCATTGGGGGAGGGCATTGTTCAGCAGTGTACGTCCTGTGGCTGAAATGATGATGATGAAATTAGAAAACTTACTATTTCAAATGAAGATTATATCCTTCATTTGAAATAGTAAGTTTTCTACCATCCACTATCCATGTGTTTTATGACTGGAAATATAAATATACAATATACGTTATATGCAGGTCTGTGGCGGAAGGATAATAAAGTTGTTCAGATCTCACGAGCTGATGTCGGTGGTGATCGGCAACGAGGAGTATGACTGGGACATGTTTGAGAGCAACTGCGAGTACAAGAATGGATACTCGGCCAATGATCAACAAGTCAGGTAAATATAATAAACTTTGTTAGACGATGTTTTATCATTTAATGCCCGTGTTACGATAAAAGTCTGTCAACTAGATTCAATATCAATCGTGGACTCTTTCCTGAATTGGTTTAAAGATTTTAATTTGTTCTGTTGCGTTATAAACGCAACATTTGAGTTTACTCGGGTATACCCGAGTAAAATCAGATTTCCTATCTCCCAGTCTTCATGGAGCGATTACGCTTTTTCTGTGACAACAAAACAACACTAATAATGTGAGTGTGTAATGTGACGTTATACAGGGTGTTTCTTGTAAGGTGTCAAGCCGAAAGCAGGTGATAGGTGAGGACTAGACCTATCGATTTCACCCCCATGTATGTTCTACGATTTTTCATAGTTTAGGAGTTATCGTTAATTTTGTGATTTTTTCAAATTGTATGACCCAGTAGGCTTTAAATTTTTTTATCTTTTTTTTGGGTCGACTTTTCTCAGATTTCTTTTTTTTGACAGATTCCCTATTAATTGCAGATTTTTGAAAAAAATAATCAACTTCCTATCTTTGATGCAAGATACAAAATTTTTGCTAGAAACATAAAAAATATGCTTTTAGCGGAACATCCTAAAATTTTCAACTTAAAAGTTTAAAAAAAAAAAGTGATTCCATAGGTCCAAAATAATTTTCAAAACTGCGCAGTTTTCTGAACTTTCATAATAACACAAAAAAACATGTACTTAATAGGCCATTATTTTCTGTAATCGCTCCACTAAAGTGGTAAGTCGGAGATTCTGTTACATGTTTTTGACTTTCTTAGGACTAACTAATGTGTGTGTGTGTGTGTGTGTGTGTGTGTGAGAGAGAGAGAGAGAGAGAGAGAGAGCGCAAAAATGGGTGTAATAATTTAATTTAAAGTAAATGTTCAAAATGTCCGCCGTTGACCTGAATGCACATTCGACAACGACGCAAAAAATTCTTTGTAAAACCTTCTTCTTCATTTTAATTTGGTTTTGTGCTTCAGTCAGCTTTGTCCGCAGTTCATCAATATTTTCATATTCCCTATTGTATACCAGATGAAGGGCAAGAGCTTCCTCGTTGTGGATAAAAAATGTTCTTTTCAGATATTGTTTCTAAATGTGTTCTACATAACGTAAACTTAAGGGATTGCAAACATTACTTAGTCCTAAGAAAGTAAAAAACATGTAACGAAATCTCCAACTTCCCACTTGAGTGGAGCGATTACAGAAAATAATGGACTATTAAGTACATGTTTTTTTGTGTTATTATGAAAGTTCAGAAAACTGCGCAGTTTTTTAAATTATTTTGGACCTATGGAAGTTCTTTTTTTTTTCAAACCTTTAAGTTGAAAATTTTAGAATGTTCCGCTAAAAGCATATTTTTTATGTTTCTAGCAAAAATTTTGTATCTTGCATCAAAGATAGGAAGTTGATTATTTTTTTAAAAAATCTGCAATTAATAGGGAATCTGTCAAAAAAAAGAAATCTGAGAAAAGTCGACCCAAAAAAAAGATAAAAAAATTTAAAGCCTACTGGGTCATACAATTTGAAAAAATCACAAAATTAACGATAACTTCTAAACTATGAAAAATCGTAGAACATACATGGGGGTAAAATCGATAGGTCTAGTCCTCACCTATCACCTGCCTTCGGCTTGACACCTTACAAGAAACACCCTGTATAAGTCTTCTCGTTTAATTTCAGATGGTTCTGGGAAGTGTTTCATGAGCTAGCGATTGAGGATAAGAAAAAGTTCCTTTTGTTCCTCACTGGGAGTGACAGAGTTCCTATACAAGGCATGAGAGATATCAAGGTTGGTAATATCAATAGTAGAAACATACTAATCTACTTCATTATTTTCACCATTATGTCATTTAGTCTCCACTGCATGAGCAAGCAATGGAGGATCTGATCCACACTTCTCACGCTTGCCAAATGGGTTAGGGAGGTCCGATGTTCGCATATTTGTCCTTTAATCACTTTTTACTTCGTTATCAAAATGCATATTGTTATAAAATATTGTCTTTTTAGATAAGAATCCAACCTGTGGCCGACGACAGATACTTCCCAGTAGCCCACACATGTTTCAACCTGCTAGACTTGCCCAGGTACAAAACCAAAGAGCGTCTCAAATACTACCTCTTGCAAGCCATCCAGCAGACACAGGGATTCTCGCTCGTCTGATCAAGGTAATAGAGTTTTAATTTGCTCATTAGTGGTCCCGTTGTCACGCCACTTCGACCCGCACTGACCTTATTAAATCACGTGTCGAAATTAATAGTTACGGCTTTTATCAACTTAGGACTGCTTATTCAAGTATTTGAAGAAGAAAAGGAATTTTACATTATAATTTTTATTATAACCACGTATATTTTGATTTTATTTTATTGATATGACACACCGTATAAGTTTTTATTTCAATTTATGTTTTTAACCCTCGCTGTACGAGGTGGGGTGTGACACACCCCAGTCCTTTAAAAATCGCCATAATTTTAAAAATTTGCAAGTGCTAAATTTGAAATTCTCAGTAGCTGGAATTATGGCGCTGCTGCTTCGATCAGAGTTGCAAAATCAGTCCAGCGGTGACTACCAACTGAGTTACATGCCTTTAAAGTGTGTGTGGGTGTCACACACCCCACCTGGTACGGGACGTTGTTAAAAAGTTTTAAAAATTATCTAACAGTTTTGGTGTAATTTATATATTTTTAGCTTTGTCAGTTGAATGAAATTCAATACAAATAATATTTTTCGTGATTTTCACGGAATCTGAAATTTTCAAGCGCTTTTAGTCAAATGAGATGACTTTTAGTGCAAATCTGGAAGTTAAGTACTGAGATCCAATGATGTATGTGAACATACACTTATGGGCTACAATTTATACTTGGTGATACAATTTATGGGCTGCTGAAATGGAATAACATATTTTATAAATAAATGAAATTGTTACGCTCCCATTTTATGCATTGAGAATACTCATTTTCTTTCACCAGAATTGGGGTAAATTAAAAAACGATGATAAAAATGAATTTATACCCTTCCAGTTTTTAATTTACTTTTAAATTATAAGTAAATATCTTGTACTTTGTTAAATAAAACGGTTGTCATAGTTAAAGGCTATAATTAAAAATTATACATAAGAAACTGATTCCTAAATTACAAGAACAACGGAAATTCTGTCTTTTTGTTTTTTTTTTTTATAAAAATGTTTTGATACATATTTTCATCTCAGAACTTGTCTTACGCCTAATTAGCATACGTAAATAATCAATATTAAATATTAAATTCCATCTAAAAAAATGTTTTATGAAAGTTTTATCACTTTGTATATTGGGGTATGTCATACCCCACCTGGTACGGGACGTAACTTTTAGTCACCTCGTACACGGAGGGTTAACCATGAATATCCAAACTGAATAAACGATCCTAGTCAAAGCCATAATAAGACACATAAGTAAAAACAAACTCGATTCCTTTTTAGTTACCAGGTAAAGGTTTTAGTAAATAGCATTAAATTATATTGTCAGTCCCATTTTACATTAAATATTTCAGAATCATGTTCAATTATGAAATACTACCACAGATCTCCTCAACAGTCAATTTGTCTTCCATACGACATTGCCATATTGTAGTTAAATTCAGCTAAATGTTACTAAAACACCATTGTTAAAATATTGTAAAACTTTTTGCATTTCGGTAATAAATTTCGACTTTGAGATCTATTATAATGGTCTGATTCTCTCCATCCAATCATCTTTGACTCTCGACAGAATCGGCCAATAGGGTATTTGACACCACCAATCAATTGACGTACTTTTTAAAACTGTCAAAACGACACTCTCCCATAGATTTTGTACGGCAATACTAGCATGTGACGTCACAATTTTATCAACTCAATGAAACTACTTTTTTCAATTATAATGCAACGTTAAATCGTAATTTACAGGTAATTAAAAATTAATTAAGTTTTTAAGACCAGAAAGAAGTGTCTTTTTAAAAAAGTTGTGCTTTAGAATTATTGGGAAATGGTGTCAAATACCCAATTGTGTAATATTGTAATAGTTAGTAAAATGTAGGTAGACACTACACAAATTGCCTTTGCTGATCAGAAATCGTTTGTGCTGTGATGAGTGTGACAGTTGTAAATCCATAAGTCTGCATTTAGTGGAGTACAGGACTTTAAATATATTTTATTTTTAGATACGAAAAAGACAATGTAACGAATCAAACAGTTTATTAGGTTAATTGTTGAGCACGTCACTTTGACGTTTAGAATTTTTGCCCAACATTGGGCACACTGTGTGATGCTGATTTTTAATTTGTTTGTTGCTTATTTTTATATTTCTCGCTTAAATTAGAATGCGGTCACAAACTGTACCAACTTGACTTTTTAATGAATGTTATACTTGAAAGAGCGCTTGAGCGTTTTGTTTAGATCAATGAGTAAATAATGAATTATTAAAATTTCATCAATATTTTGTCTTTTAAAATAATATGAATGATGTGTCGTGATTGTAATTAAAATTCATTGTTTAAATTGAGATTATTTCGAAGTCAATTGTTAAAATCCGTTGTTTCTTATTTGTAACGTTTTATTATACAATCTGGATACGATAATAATTTGGTGCCTTTTTTAACATATTGATATTTATATTGATTTATAAAATCTACGTATAAATAATAATCAGAGCATCATTCTTTGTTATGGTATATTTATCAGTTGTAATGTTTTATAAAGACATGAAAGTGCATTTTATCTGCTTTAAGTGTGCCGATGTTTTGGTTCGAATAGCAGAATGTGAGAATTTATTATCGTGGCCATTACTTTATGGAACAAATGTGGTAAACGAACAAAGCTATATTTTTTAAGTATGTTATTAAGGCCTATTGTTGTCGGCACACTGACTGTGTATACTTTAGAATAACTTACTAATAACGGCTTAACTATAAGTGTGAACATATTCATGAACATGAACAGTTCATTTATTCCGTAATTAAATTATATTAATACACGAGTGCTTGTATCAGTACCGATCTATAATGTTGCACCGATGTCACTTTTAATTTTGCTGTTATTAGTAAGACTGTGACTTGTTTTGTACTGATTGTATTTTAGTAAAATTATACATTGTTACCGACTTGTCGCAAAAGCTTAGTGTACAAACGAATATAAGTATTTATTTAAACGTTGTTTGGGACAATGGTTGTAGCCATACGTTTGTAAATAACTTGGTTACCGCTGTGATATTATGGGTATGTATTGAGGCGTTGCTGACAATATGAATGCTTCGTAATAGTTGGTTTTGTTACAAACTGTACAGACTGTACATAGGACATACGTAGCTTGGCTAGATTGTTATTGTTTGGAAGCATTTTGGAGTGCACTCTGATGTAGCTGTTACAGCGTGGTTTGTACACTATGTATGTATTGTATGATAATATAATATTTTCGTATGCATCAAGAGTTTCATTTTATAACTCAGCAGGGTAATTTAGCTTATATTAGTTAGGAAATTGATAGGTAAATTAGAATTTACATAAAATTTCTAAATGACTGGTGTACGTATAAGAAGTTAAAATAACAACAAGGTGGACATTTTGTACAATTTATTTCATTAAAATATAATAAATTACATAATATCAAATCAGTAATGCTTTTGTAACATTTTATATACAAAATATTTGAGTAATCTCTTTATGACTAGGTAGGTAGGCAATTTAGCCAATTTGACAAATAGTTCAACGCAAGGTTAAATATAAAAATTTGGTATAAAGCAAATGCAAAGCCAATATTACAAATATTACATGGTATTTTTTGGTAATTCTGTAATATCAGTGACAATTGAGCATTATATACAATTTGTATTAAAAAGCATGAATAATTTTCTTCGCTTATTATTACGTTCGCAATGTTTAAAGCCGCACATTTACATCGAGAAGTTAAATAATATAAAAAATGTGATGACGAATAAACATGAAGTATCATTTAGAAATGACGGTGCAATATTTTTTATTATTTTATAAGTATTTTATGCTTACGAACTAATTAATGGTTAAACAATAAATTAATACTACAATTAAGTACTGATTGTAATGTCCAATCCCGTACATGCTTCGAGACTTTATACCTAAAGTCAATACAAGTACTTACACTTGAAGTCCATTCTCCCGAGACTTCGCTTCTCAAAGTAATTACCCATGTATTTCAGATGAAACTGAACGATTCGTTTCGTTGATATTACTAATGCGTTTGCCCCAAAAATCTATTTCTATAGACACACATTTAACATTAATAATGCCAACAAAAAGTTCTTTGATGTGGTCGTGAACTGGTATTATGGATTAGACAAATTAATACTTGTCCGTTACGATTCATGTGATGACTATTTTCTAGGGAGATGATAATGTCTGTCAGTTAATAATACTTAATGGTTGATCTAAGTTAGTAGGAAGATCGGCCTGAGTGGTCCTCGTAGTGTTGCGTGCCGGGCGGCGCGCGGTAGCCTGGGTAGTTGTTGTTGAGAGCGTGCTGCGCGAAGAATGTAGTGTAATCCTTTTTCACCTACAACACAACGTTCAAAATCGCTTGTCAATCCAACCAAAACAACACCCCACCTTCGTACACAGATGCAATTCTGTATTGTTCTGTACACCCATGCAACCTAACACTTTCTACGTCGCAAAGCCATAGATAGAAAAGAGGAATGAATGTCTGTATGTTGTTTAGTCGATTACATGATCTTGTGAAGTTATAGGTCGACAACTGTCTTGCCCCATCTTGTGGTTCGGTGCAGTCGATGTAGCCAGGGAATTTAGTACATATTGTTTCTGGTTACTCGCGGTCCACTGACCAAAGTGTATTGTACTGAAACTTCAGAAACGACAAGTCAAGGCTGAATGAGATTCTTGAGACTCATAAGTGAAGATATATTTTACTGATTTTATCAAAGATTTGTTGAATTTCGTTTCTGATGCTCGGTTGTCTTCCCATAGATAGCGTTGCGAAGCCTAAACGAACGCGTTAGGTGTCGCGACTAGTTGCAGACGACGCACGACTAAACTGGGCCTGAGCGAGCCAAAGTTCGCGCTTGCAAGAGTATTGTGCATTTAGAATTTTAGAATGGGCACAAGTGGCCTTTTTAGGGACACTATCCCTTATTATGTGGTTTTCGGCAGAAGATTATAATCACTGAATGTGAAAATTATTATACCAGTCAGTGGCTGAAAAATATGGTGCATTCTCCGCTGTCATTTTCATGGGGTAGGCAGATTTGTTATTAATTCCTAGTTGTTAAAACACAAATTAGGTTCAATAATATTATTTATATTGATGTTAATTGATCGAAACCATAAACAAAAATGATCTTGCCAATCCGCGTGCAAACGGGACTATTGTCTAATACTCAGGCCCGACACTAAACTATACTAGAGTGGTCCTCGAGTGCCGAAGTCTGTTAGGTAGCTCCAAACACATAATGTCCCAAGTGACTTACAACTGAGGTACAAAGTCCTGTACGTGGGACAGACGGAACGACGCCTACGCCTCGTTCATGGCAACTAATTCGGCAAGCGAGAATTGCCGCGGCTAAAACAGACAACGGTTGCGTTCAAACTTTTGTAAGGCACTCCTTGTGAGTGGCTGTGGTAGTAGAGATAACGCTTTACATGCATTTTGAAGGTGGTTTGAGTGTGTTTGATTTATCTTGCACCCTTATTATTGGGGTATTTTAAATTCAGGCGGATTTATTGTTGACATATCTATGAATATGCTCCGAATTTAAATGTATCCTGATTTAAATATTTATTGAATGATCAAACGAACTTACCAAGTGAAGTTCGATCTAAATTATCCTGTTTTCGCCGAAGAGATTTATTTTACCATGTAGTACCCCTGTACGACAACCNTTTTTAATACTACTACGCTGAATATTGTGTGCGGATTGGGTTGTCGTACAGGGGTACTACATGGTAAAATAAATCTCGGAGGCGAAAGCAGGATAATTTTAAAAATATTTACAATATTTAGTGTAGTTTTACAAAAAGCAAAAAAATATTTACAGAATAAATTGCTAAAGTTAGACATTAGTCAAAAATAAAGCTCTTGGGGGATGTAGCTTAGGGTTGTTAAATATTTCCAATTATACAGGGTGTAAAAAAATAATGGCTATCAAAAACCAAAAATATCTTGTAACTAGTAAAGCTTAATTGGTAATCATTGGGGAGTAAGCCACCAGAAAACATTTCAAAAACAGTTATGAGCTCTTAATTAGTTCTGTATTTATATCTGTATAATTTAACGGTGATTGATTTATGTGCTATTTGTCGTTCAACACAGCGCACCGTTTCATACAGTGGCGCTGCTAATGAAGCGTCATTGGAAAATGGAAACTGGACTTTGTGTTAGGGAAGTTAGAGTTGGTGGTACCTTGCGTGGTCTGCAGGCTGGGCCCTTGGCGAGCTGTCTCCTCGCCTCGTTCTCTGCCTCGACGGCCTCCTTCACTGACTGCGGCGGCCATTTCTGGTCTCCACGCATGTTGACGCCGCCTATGTGCAATTTTTCACATAAAATTATTATTTGAAAATAAATAATAATGTCTTAGGTCGTCCTCATGCCCAACCAGAAACTAGACAACATGACTTCGGAATTAAACTTAGTTTTAAAACCACAGTGCTAGTACCTAGTTAGAAATTTTAAAATGGGCATAAAGCTAGTCGTTTCGCTCTAACCAAACTCAATCCTTATAAACTGTCCATAAAGAGACAAACGACTACCGTGGATATTGGCACCAAAGTGTTTACGTGCCCACCTTTTGCACTGCAATAGCCTAGTACAAAGGGCAGTTTTGAAAACAATATAACTGCAATCTTGTTTTAGTACCCGTGCGAAAATATCAGACGCGTCCTTAAAGTTTACGCGCGTTGCTATTACTGTTGTAAATCAAATAAACTTCTTACACTTGCTTACTTTAGCGTCATGAATTGTCGTCGCTTCATTGTATGTTACCTAGGGAGATTATTTATAAACTTGAATGTAAGGGTGTGAGGGTATCTTTTCGCTCACAGATTTAGGGAGTGGAATTATAGCCTGCCGGTGCCAACTCTAAGAAAGAAGTTTGTTTAACGAATGTGTATTTTCCCTTTAAAGTACATAAACCCAATCTGTCTTTGAAACGCATACCCGTTTAAAAAAGCTGCCTTAAAATGAGAGAGAGTAGAGATGTCTAGATGGTTGCTAGTGGTGCCACCACTCTACTTACGGGCTACGACTACGGTGGTTAACTCTACCTACGACTTCTTACGTGTGTCGAACTTCGAACTAAGTAGTGTTTCTTGCTAATGGATTTAAAAGTAAAGACCTTGTGGCAATTGCTATAGTCTGTCTGTTGCTGACAAAATGTGATAGTTTCAGTGACTTCTACTGCTTTTGTGCTCACTGAAGCTTCGAATTAAGAGTCAGTGCTTTACCTTGGAACGATGCTGTGGCCGGCTGGCTAGCGAAGACTGGCGGCGGCTTCTGGTGGATGGGCTGCTGCTGACGGAGTGTGATGGTCGCTGGCGGAGGCTCGAACTGCCTCTGTGGCGGCTGGTACGCCGGCTCGTACTGTGGCGAGTACTGAGGCTGCGGCGAGTACTGCGACTGAGGCGAGAACTGAGACTGCGCCCCGTAAGAGGGCTGCGAGCCTTGTGTCTACGCGAACATCAAGGTATGTTATTACTTTTGTTATAGTTAATTCGATTACATTAAAAAATAACTAGGTATGTGAAAACTACAATTAGAGAACAAACCGCAAACATTTTTTGATTCAATATTTAGTTCAAGTGTGGCTAAAAATATTAGGAGGAAGTAATAAACAGCGAGACGCATAACCATTATTGAAGTGTTGATAGGTTCATAGGTAGAATTTATAGTCAGACTGTTTTCAGAAACAAATGACGTTAGTGACAAACGTAACACAGATTTATGGTATCCATTTCGTGTGCTGTAAAAAGCGTAGTTATCATGGCAGTGCATAATGTGGCCATAAAGGACGGATGCATTAAGCCATACAGTGCCATCAGCTCTATTAGTGAAGTGCGGTGTGAAGAGTCGTGGCGTGTGAGTTTGATCGTAATTGATGCATAACAAACAAATTTTTGATTGCCAAGAATCTTGCACTAAAATGATTAGTAACAAATGCGTGACAGCTAACTATCGACGACGGTGATGTTCCATTCCGCCGTACCTGGGGGGAAAGAGGGGCTGGCACGGGGGCCCAGCGGTTGCTCGCGGGGCGGTAGGGCTGCGCGATTCCGGGGGACGGCGGGCCCTGGCGGTAGGGGGACGAGGGAGAGGGGGCTTGGACACCCGGGCCTACAGGGATGAGCTTGCTCAGGCCACAGGCCTCCTGACGGCGGCTTTCGCAGTGCGCCGGCTGGCTCTGAGGCTGCTGATATTGTTGCTGGTACGGGGCCTGAGCCTGCTGATATGCCTGGGGCTGGTGGTACTGAGGTTGGGGCGGCTGGTACTGCGGTTGGGGAGGCTGGTACTGGGGTTGGGGCTGGTAATGGGCCTGGGGCTGTTGCTGCTGTGGCGCGGAAGGGGAGTGCTGCGCGTTGTTGTGGTACGCAGGACTCTGCTGTTGGGATTCGAAATTTTAAAGTTTTATAATACAGTAGGTAGGCGCGCTTCACAACTGCATTTTTAAAAACAAATTTAACACAAGTTACTGATATTCCCCTTAGCCCATCTGGTTAGGCTGGGCTTAGCACAATAAGTACTTGACGAAGATCGAACTAGCGACCTCTCGAACGGGTTTGATGCCGAAACCATTAGGCTATTGCAGTTGTGAAACTACGTCAAAATATTGTTTGTGTTTGTGTACCTACCGCATGCATTATCTGGCCGCCACCTAAGCGTCTATGTGCAGCACTTTCATCGCTCTCAATTCTATATACAGTGATTGTTTAAGTGAATTAATGTGCGCAGTGCCTAATTATTAAACCAAATTACCTGTTGCTGGTGATATCCGTTCGTTTCGGGCACAGGTGGCCACACTACTTTCTTCTGGCCTGCAACAAATAATTCCTACATTAAATTCCGTTAAAAATTGTATTTTTCGTTAAATAAACATGGCGCGAACGTTAATACGCTTGTGTAATTAGGCATGAAGTAAATTAGAGGCGTTGACGGAGAAAACGTTAATTAAAAAACAAAACAGATACTGTTCTTGCTTATCTGATGGGAATAAACCTCAAAAATAAGCTTTTACGACGCTTGGAGATAGAATCTTAACTCATATTACTATTTACCTAGGCAACCGAGATATGAAATCTGAAAACCGCGAATTTTAGTATCCATTTCTTTGAAATAGGTATATTATGACATATTTATCTTGGAATTAGCTCGGCCTACCGCGTTATTGGACACTGGCCAGCCGGAGGAAAAAATATCAGTCTCTTAAATATTAATTCAGTATACAACATAAAGTTGGCCGAAAACAAAATGAATTTACACTGAACACAGGTATTCCACCTACACTATCAAAATGTTTTGCCAGATGGATCGAAACTGGATCAGGACTTATTTTTCTAATAGATTAATTTTTTTGATGGCGACTCGAAAAATCAGCATCAAATTAATTACTTAGTTAAACATAACAATGTAAGTCGTACTTAACATTATGAACTGCAATTTAAGCACCTACATGGAAACTACTTTAATAAACCGATTAAGAAGGCCAAGAGCTTCCTCGTTGTAGATAAAAAAAATTACAAACAACAAGTGGGAAAGAAAATGTTCTTGTAATAAAATTCCAGTTAAACAAGCATTAATATAACTCAATTAAAATACTTACAAATTGAGAACTATGTTAGCTTGTTATAATAATTACTTAACAAATTGTTTACAACATCTCGTGTAGACTTGTAGGTACGTTCTTTGCGTTTCAGCGATGTATTGGATTTCAATTTACAGCGTATCAAGGAAGTTTACAAGGTGACTCGGCTTCGCTAAGGTAAAGGACGTAGCCTCGAGTTAGGTGTAGAGTTTAGTTGCAGGCTAGATTTCTGAACCGAAATTCCAACACCGTAAATACTCGTAGATTAACTATCGCGCGCATCACCTACCTATTCGGACTATTCGTAAAGATGTGCAATTACAAAATAGAATCGGAAATCACTCCAAAATTAACACAATCGAATATAAATGAAATAACACATGACGTGAGTATATGACGTTCTTACTGGATTTATCACTTCCAGAAACGTTTTACTAATAAATCTTTCAAAGCCACATGCCACAGTCACGTTGCACTTTTTTGTAAGTAAAGTATAAAAAACAAACTCAACTATTTGACCTATAAAATGTTTAACAACGGAATTAAAACAAATGACTCACGATAAATCTGTCCAATCGAGCTGGAACGCAAGACGCGCCAACCGCTTGCCGGTCAGGACTACTCTTGACTATCTACTTGGCTCGCTCGCCAGGTGAGTACGTGCACAAATATCTACCGCATATTATATTTTGAGAGACCACATTTTTAGGACACCACTACCCGTCTCACTCCCACCCACCGCTCATAACACCGGGAAATCTCGACACACCTCCCACAGTGAGACCCTGGTCTATAGAATTCGTCACAACTGCATGCTAGTATATTTATCGTTCTTGGAAAGGTAACAAAAACAGTTTCCATTAATTACCACTGCGAAAACAATGAGGACATAAATCATATTCTTATTCTTGAGACGGAAAATTAATGCGCTGACATAGCGCTTGCATTCATTTGAATGCGTGAGATGCTGACGTGGAAGGTAACGACGCAAATTAGAGACGAAAGCTTATCGGTAGTACCTACTTGGTAAAAAAATTGATCCGTGAATTAATAAGGGTTATTTATATTTTTTTTATAAAGTAAAGATTAATGTTATTAATTGTACAATTCAGATTCTGTTCCAAGAATTCCACTTAATTAGTTCTAATAGTCATCATAATTAGGGATTTTAGAGCAGTTAGCGATAATCGCGCACGCATCGTCATTGCCGTGTTGGTGTTATGGTGTTCTGCAATTACTACATCCATTGAGGCATGCGATGCACATAAATTGCGAACGGTATGCATAACCGAACGACGCCGTCGCCACCGGCTCCGGATAATTTGTTATTAACTTGTTTAAGGCACTTAGCTACACTCGGCTTGCACTTCGTCGGCCAAGCAAGCAGATACAATTTTAACAACCAGTTTTTAATAACCCCAAGAGATTTTATTATGCTAAGGAGACGAGGAGTGATTGCATTTTCTTAGAAACTTTATTATTAAATAGCCGCATGGTAATAGGCCTACTTATTTTGCGCACCGTTACAAAAATAATGGAATGTAGGTACGTTACAGACGCGACAGTTTCATTGGTAAAGCCTACCTAGTATTTAAAACTTATTTAACATGGGTTTGATAGCTCTACATCTGCTTTATATCTGATATCGATGAAACATACTTTTTTCAGACTTTGTGTCCACATTACAAGTTAAAATATTTCAAGAGTGCATTTTTCAGGAATTTCACATTTCATTCGTAGCTACGATGACAAACAAAACATTGTAAACTACTTCATGAGTCAACAAGTGATCACGTCAGCACGTAGTGTGGTCCTATCGATGTATACTCATTTGTCATTTGCATCTTTTCAGCACTTGGTTAATATTAGACATTGATTCATGCGCGCGCGCGACTCATCCGAAATAGTTGCAGGTTACGTCAAGAGAGCACTTTTTGTTATTCTTAGAGAAACATCCACGTATCAAGGCCGACATTAGAAATAGCAAGGTGTACAATAAATCTGAAAGTGTATTCTCACGTAGTAATTCGTTCTAGGATTTCTAAAATTAAAGATAGTTAAATCGAGAAAAAAAAAACAGGTGAGGCGAACTTTCGAGAGGTCACCTTAAAAAATTTCCAGAATCAAATTAGCTACGTTGAAGTGGGGTGGACGTCATTTATACGGATACAATACTAAGGCTTGCTTTTTACATGAGGTAAGTCTGCGGTCAGACACCTAGGTTAACGAAAGAGAATGGAGAGTACGGAAACTCTGGAAAAGAGTTCCAAGTATTTTAGTCCGCATCATAAACGAACCTTACTCGACAATAAATTTGTATAAGTATATTTTTTTGTTACAAATGGCATCGTCTAAACTCTAAGGGCTTTTGTTGGTAGCCGGCGACTGGTTGCGCCGCCATGGTGTCCAGGTGAAATATAGCCCTAAAGTTTTTATCTTGATATTCCGGAAAGGTTGTATCGGAAAATAAAACCTAAGTAGGTAGGTACTTACTTACATTTTAATTATTCACTAATTTTGATATAGCCAAAGATACGGAATTAGTTCCAATCATTTCTCTACTGTGAAATATTTCATGAGCACTCTTCACCAATATTTATAGCTTATTTTTGAGTATTTCCTAATGACGCGAAATAACTGAGAAGAAATTTACATTACTTTCTAATTTGTTGTTTACATTGTAAGGTGATTAAATTCTCACTTTAAAATGCTAAACTAAATAAGCACAGCAGAAATTATTTATTATTTGATTTTACTTACTGAATTCACTTCACAATCACATTAGAATAACAAAAAATAAAGAGTTCTTTACCTACAAACACTGTTTCAGACATGTCGTTTTCGGCTTCGGTGTCGGCTGTGAACTACCATCAAGAACAAAAGGTAAAAACACATTCTCACAGCTCCCAACCCTTGCCAAACTCTTTCACTAATGAACAAAAAACTCCTCAACCGTAGGCGGGAGATCTCTCAAGACACTGACGACAAAAGACAAAAGAATAATTTCCACGAACGAAATTCATATTAGGCCGTTAAACTCATGCAAAATAGAACTGTTTCCATTCATTCATGAATCACGACTTCCGGTGTCGCCGGCGTGTCAATGTCTCAAGACTCCTAACTGGACGGTTTACGTACTAGCCAGATGCAAGTTAAAATTAGCACGGCCACCATTAATTTAGCTTTAAATGATTTATTTACACGTTTGAGAACATGTAGCTGTCAGTACACAATTAATAACCGATCGTTACGTACAGTTGTTAATAACTCATTAGCTGTGCTCGGTCAGGATTGACCTGAAAGTGAATGTGTTTCATGAGCGATATTAATAACAGCTTAGGTGACGGGTAGTGGTGTGGGAATGGAAGTGAGTCTACCTGGCGAGCGATGGTGCGAGTAATTGCTATATCTAATCAGCTTCCTACTGATGGTTGGCGCGATATGTGACATAGAAAGTGCTCTAACTCTACCAGTCTTGCTGGTACCTTTAGTGGCCCTCATGAACTCAGGGTACACATTGCCAGTGGCGTTGAGTTGCCCGTCCCAGCTGCGGGCCGATCGCAGGCGGTCCTGCTGCGGGGGCCAGACGGTATCAAACCGATGGTTGGTGTGAACCAAGGTATCCAAAATCGCCTGCACTTGGGTAGGGTCTAGTTCTGGCAAAGCAGTGCATATTTAGTAGCATTAGTAAGCTTATAACCACTAATATATTGCATTTTTTAAGAATTGAAAAACAATATAAAGACCAGCACAAGTTTAAGTTTTCAAGTGATTTTTTGTTCTGTTATTATTAATTTACTTAAGGGCTTTGTGCAATAGACCAGTCAACAAAAAATAAAAGTTGGAAAAGGTTCACAAACTTTTGTAAACTAAAAATCATCAAACGGGGACTTGCAATTAAAACTTTACAAAAATTATAAAGAAACGATTGGGTTTCTAAATTATAACAATGAAAATATTTTACAGACGTGTTAATTTAAGTGTGGTCAAATTTTGTGGGGTCAGCCCATTTACAAAAATATTCGTTACGAATGTCAAGTTTAAATAAAAAGATATTAAATAATCCAAACTAGAGATATACGAGTAGGTAGGATAAGGAAACAAACATCCATTAATAAATCAAAATTTAAGTTATAGTACATATACAGTGATAAGTACTCACTAGGGTATCCCCTTCGGTTCCTCTCCTCTTCCTCCAGCATTCTGAGGACTGCTGAGTTGGCGAGGTTAGCAGGCTTGTCTGTGGTGGGGTTGTTGAAGTCAATGCTGTAACCAAAGTTTTGAATAAATACATGGAAGTCTGTATATTTATTTCAGTGCAGTTTGTAGGTCTCTGGACTGACTGAGTCCATTATAAGTAGGTAGTCTTATTTACTACTTATGTTGAAATATGTAATAGACAAGAAAGCCCTAACTAAATTGTACAAAGCGAGTGTTCAATTGTTCATTTCACCAAAACTAAAGTTTAGTTTGCGCCCTCTTACCTACTAGTTGCAGTGACACATAAAATAATAATGGTGCAGTCCTGTTGTCCCCCCTGCTTGGCCCCCCTTGGGGAGCCAACAGGATTTCGAAATCCTGTTGTCCCCCCTGGCTAGGGGAGACAACAGGACTGGATTTTTAATCAATGATTTGAGGACTGTTGTCCCCCCTGGCAAACATTGGGTATTTAAAAGTCATATACAGGGTGTTTGGCGCATCGTGTGCCAAAATGATTTGGCAGATAGAATGGGTCCTTTCCTATATTTTCAGCCCCCATAACACGTTCCATGCCGGGCGGCTACTTTTATATTATTTTTTTTAGTAATTTCACCAAAATACCCAAATCGCATCATTTAATTTCGATTTAAAAAAAAACTACTAGGCGTAGCCTCAAAGTAAATATTTTGTTTGGACGTGCATTGATGTAGGGTTGCATCAAATCTAAAGGACAATGACCAAAAATGTATGGAGTGTGGTCCAAATGTCCACCACTAACGAGACCTATGTAGTAAAATAGTCTACTAAATACTGATTCATTATAACCAAACCGCAATCAAAAATATGCTGTCAGTAAAAAGTTATGACTGAATGAAAAGTCATGTTTTTTTACCTTTTCATCCAAAAAATGTTCTTGATATCATTCTATCCATCGCACATTTTGGATTAATCTATGCATGTTATGTCATGTCGCTTAGTATGCCGTGTTAGATTATCGCTAAAAGAAAAAAAATAAGCTCAGAAGAAAGACAACAATATTGGAATTATGGTCGGGTGGTTGCTGCTCCGCCCCTATTGGTTGTAGGGTGATGTTATATAACCTAAAACCATCCTTGATAAATGGGCTATCCATAAAAAAAATTTTTTTTCTAATCGCACCAGTAGTTCCTGAGATTAGTGCGTAAACTACTACAATTTTTCATACGGTCATAACTTTTTACTGACAGCTTATTTTTTTTCGTCCCATACTGAAAGTTAATCTCTATTTAATGGACTATAAGCCAATATAGGTCTCATTAGTGGTGGACATTTGGACCACTTTTGGTCATTGTCCTTTACTGGCAAATATCATCTAGTTTTTTTTTTAATTCAGCTTTGAAGTTTCCCTAAAAGTTAAAAATGGACTGAACATTTAAGTTTACATGGCTATAAAAAAATAAATAAAAGAGATAGCGATCTTCGGATTTTATCGAAACTTCTCTAGTCTATCCCCATTTAAACGGTATACTAATCTTGTTTAAATAATAACAATAACTTCACAAATTCCTTAAATTAGTGCATTGACTCTACTCGGACTGATTTGCGAAATTTGTGTTTATAGCCCCTTTTGTGTGAATAGCACGTTATTAAACACCTAACAGGTAAAAAATATTTATCTTATGCAATGTAACCTTTACCCTATCGTTTTTCAATGTGGATTTCTTGAAATTAAAGACGAAAATAATTATTTTGATCGTTTATTAATTACTAGCTGACCCGGCGAACTTTGTTCCGCCTTAATGGCAATAAATAAGCAGACTTTTTTTTTAATTTCGAACGGAATAAAAAGTATCCTATGTCCTTCTTCTGGCTCTAAACGACCTCCCTGACAATTTTTAGCTAAATCGGTTCAGCCGTTCTTGAGTTATAAGCGAAGTAACTAACACGACTTTCTTTTATATATATAGATTACAAATTTTGTTCAAAATGACCGTCTCGGCAACGTATACACTCACGACATCTTCTTCTAATTTTAACTGTTGTCGTGTCCTCCCCTAGCCAGGGGACAACAGGATTTCGAAATCCTGTTGGCTCCCCCAGGGGGGCCAAGCAGGGGGGACAACAGGACTGCACCAAAATATAAGTTCTTGGCGTTTGGAAAGTAATTTATAAATACTGAGGACTCTGAAAAACAATTTCCACTCTCAAATTATAGCTAATTATAAATTACCTAACAGACAAGAAAGAGATATTAGCTGGCGGCGTGAATTAGAATCGATTTAAATTTTATTATGATTATTTCTCGCTCTGCTAGAGTTACTCATTACATTATTACCCTGTAATTTGAGACTCATTCGTTCATGTTTTTTTATGATTTGCTAATGAATGCGCATACAATACTTTTAAAATACACACACCGTTAATAAATAACAATCTCTACCATTATTGTGTTGTATCTACAAAATACGTAACCTATCTAGCGCACCAATAAATTTTTAACACCAGGTGCGATTGCGGTCAACTGACCACCTTGTCTTGCTTAAAAAAATCGATATGAACAGCTGATATACCATAATTGGAGTAACAATAATAATTGCTACTAATTAATTGTCAACGTGCCAGACGTTTTAAGACAACAATCAGTATCATCGTCTGTACAGTCATGTGATGATTCACCAGTCGAATGCAACCGGTGATCATGCTATGGCGAATGTTCAAGTAATAAAGTTTAAAAATAATTCCTAGTATATGCTATTGATATTTACACCTCTATTTTTAACCTATGGATGAGCAACCAATAAATCTTTTGCCTATAAAACTCCAAACGATTTGTTAAAATGTAGAAATAGTCCGCATAGTTTGTTTAAAGCGCTCTACACACCTAACTCGCGCTACACAACAATCCGTCGATATAAAGTTGACTTGGATGAGCTGCATAGGGTCAATATTTTTTTATGACAACTTAATTAATAATCGCGAATGAAATTATGCTAGAAAAACTTAAAATTGCTCTTCTTAACTAAGTTTGTTAAAGACTACGATATTTTGAAGTCTATTTGGCTGTTGGTGTAATTATTTAAGAAAATTTTGCGTCCAGTCTCACCGCTTATATACTAGTGTTGCTCTCAATTATAAAACATGCAGTGTATTGCAGAATGCAGTGATGATAGTGGTTTGGGTGGATTTTGAATTCCAAATATCCGGGATAGCCACACACCGGATTACCGGATACTCGAAAACCGGATATTCGAACAATAGCCGCGTACAAGCCCAATCCAATGATTTTCGTTCCAAGTTATTGACTTGTTTTTAAGACTGATAAACTAATCTTAATCGTAAATGCTAATTGAAAAATTGGTAGTGATTTAATCAAAGAATGAACTATAGCAAATATTGACATTTATTTTGGACGAAAAGTGGTCAATAATAGTGATGTACATTACGTAGACAGGTAAGTACTTATTTCAAATGAGATCTAAATCAAACGCAATAACACAAAATTTTTAAGAAAACTGAACAAGTGAGTTTTACGTGTGCTTAATAAAAACAATTAACTTTTGGTAAAAGTGGAAAATCTTGGAAAATTAACGACAACCGCTATAACGTCGTTACTGAAAAGATTTGTAAGTTTGAAACACTGTAATAAAGTTTGGTAATTTAGATTTTTCGAAGTTTCCTCTTTTGCGACTTTCTCTACTTTCGCACTAAATCAATTTTCCTTTTTGAAAGTCATGGAAAAACTAACTCTATTGAGCGTCGCACAACCGTGGGAAGCTTCTGCAAAAACCGCGCTACAGTAGAGATAGCTAGTCCCACCTTCATTGAGTTTGGAACTCGTTCGATCTGTTTGCTGGAACTGTGTTTAACTGTATTTGCACTTTGGAATCTTCTCAGTTCTCAGCCTATTTACTATTTTGCCATTTCCGTTTAGAAATTGCGTTTTGAACAAATTACAAGACTAATTTTTAATAGTTTAGTTCGAAAATCGGAGGTGTTGGAACGTAATAAATGCATCGTTTCCTAACAATATTTTTATAAACTTTCACTTGCGAATTGTTGGTTTATTAAACAAATAAACTTTGATAGTGTCTGTTAATTAAAAGGCGACTAAGCAAGACTAGATTAATTTTTAATTAAATTGAATTATTTATGTCACTCACTTAATCAACGCGTTTTTTATTATATTGCGATTGTTAATTGTTTATCTATAAGGATATGAGATCACGTGACGTCATACGAGTAACAAAGTAGGAACAAATTAATATTTTATCAACCATTTAGCGATAGCTTTTTATTTAGTGCAATCGGTGCGATTTTGCAATTTAAAAAGTTTTCTCCAGTTTGATCTAGAGAATGAGAAAACATTATACCTACGCTCTTCTTTCTGCAAAAAAACAAACCTGACATTGACACCTGATACTCATATGGCATCGAGGTGAACGTAAACTCGATTCCCTTAATAGGAAACTTAGCTTGCACATGGCCGACACCTAACTCGAAAGCAACTTTGTACAGTCGTCAGCACGTCAGACTACACATTTTTGTAGAAAAATAACACCTGTTACAATGGTATAAGATGCCGCAGTGTTTACTGTAATGTGCTCTCTTGTGTACACTTTATGTCCTAGATTTTAGACGTTGTCACTCCTTAGATGTTTCGCAGTTTTTATCTTGGATTTTATCGTGGGATACGGTAACTCTACTTTGAGAAAATAGTAAACAAAATGCCATAAAATAAGTGTGTAGATCGTGACATTAATTAAAGACATAGTATTTTTAATTCAATTACTTACTTAAGAAAAAACTTAATAAACAATAGTTGTCTTTAACAAAAAGTGTAACAATATAAAATTTCAGTTCAAATTAGACGTCAAAATATTTTAATTGAATTGGTATGATATCTATCAGCGAGAAGTAAAACATTGTGTAAGTTGTATTGAGTGCACTAACGTTGTTTTCAATAAGAGCAATTATTTCTCTCAACTTTTTCTGTTACAATTAAACGATAACATTCACTTTCTTAGTAAGTAAGTTAAAATCTTAGTTGCGGCATTTACACATCATAAATTGTTCGTAATTGTTTTGAA